ATTATAAAAACAAGACTTCTTAATTTTTTTGATAAACAATCTGATTAATGAAAAACAATTTGGATTCCAGAAAAAGAAGTCTACCCAAGACGCAATTTCTTTTTTGACATCAAAATTATACAAATTACTGGACCAAAGCGAATATACCCTGTGTGTGTTTTTAGATCTAGCAAAAGCATTCGACACAGTAGACCACTTGCTACTATTAGAAATCTTATACGACTCAGGAATTAGAGGCAAGGCCTCATGAAATCTTACCTTTCCAACAGAACACAGTGCGTACAAATAAATAATTCCTTAAGCACAAACAAATTGATAACGTATGGTGTCCCACAAGGGACCATGTTAGGCACCTTATTATTTACAATTTACATTAATAGCTGAGCTGAGCTTAAAATCTGAAGGGACAATCATATGTTTTGCAGACGATACTGCTATCATTTATTCGGATAACAACTCGTGGGATGATCTAAAAGTGAAGGTTGAAAGAGACTTAACAATAATTGCAGATTGGTTCAGACATAAATGCCTAAACTATTAACCTTCAAAAGACTATGTTCATGCCATTCACAAATCACAGAAACAAATTACCATCCTTTGTATCTATACATATTAACTGTGATAATATAAATACTCAAATAAAGTTCCTTGAAAGTGTTATTACTATTTTTGATCCAGCTCTATCAGAACACATCTCTAATTTAAAAGCGGCCGTTGGGGAAGTACCGTTTGCCTTTTGGTAATTTTTCGCTTTGCGATCTCCAGCAGTCAAATGTGCGAAGTCGTAGCGTGGTGGTGTGTTTGTTTGAAAGGGTCCCGTGTGGAAACGAAATATTTTAAGGAGACTGATGCCAAAGCTGGCTCGAAAATAAAAGAGCAAAATGGAAATAGTGCCACTGGTGGCTAGAATGCGCAACCTTTTAAAAAATTCTAAACAACTTAAACAATGAAGTTTGTTAGAAAAACGAAATATTCATATATCAGATAGTTCTGATACCGACAATGATAATGTTTCTACCGAACCTATTTCCTCAAAGTTGAGTAGCTTGGAGAATTGTGAAAAAGGTGGAGTTTCTTAAAACGTAGTGAAAACTAAAAATGTATTCTATGTACATTTTCCATGATTTTATATTTTAAAAATATGGATTTAAGGATTTTTTGTTAAATAAGATGTGTTGTATACATTTATAGAAATTTGTTAAGTAACTTATTTAATGTTATTATACAAGTAAATACATACATTATATGATTATTCTGCTGCTTGTAGTGTACTAGTATTAGAGTTCAAGGCAGTTTATTAGGTTCACTCGTTCGTTAAGAAACAGATTTTTTTCCACTAGTATTAGTTCCCTAGTTTGATTAATTAATAAAAAATAAAGTATATTTTTTAGTACCTATGTGTTTTAACCTATGGCCCTTTTAGTTTCGTTGTGCAAAATAAAATCAATTTTAATCATACTTAAAAAATATAAAAAAAATCTTGAATAATTCACAAACGACAAAAAAACAGTGTTAAAACATGTTTTAATCAGTTTAAAACAAATTGGTTTAAAATACCTCCATTGTTTTAAACAGTGTTTAAAACACTTGTTTTAAACATTTTGATTAAAACATAACAACCCTGAGAGAAGCATATACATATACAGAGTGTTACTTATTCATCTTTATAGAACGTTTTTCAATACTGTTTGGAAAAAACGTTAAAACGAAGTACATATTTCGCAACACGACTGATGCATTATCTAAAAGACACATTAGTAAATATTCGTTGGCGTAAGTTTGGAAAGGATTTCCTGAAAAATTTAACAAGAATGTTTTAAGCATTTAACATTTGCAGCGTGATCCGAGCCGGATAATTGTCATTTAAAACAATTCAAAATCTATATCAAATGTACCAAAAACTAGAAACAGTAACTATGGCTACCTACCAAAATCAGCAGCATCACAAAAGAAACAATACTTGTATTAAAAAACTGTATAATAGTAATATGACGTACAATATGTTCAAAAATCATTTCATAGGCGAAAAATTAGAATATTGTTTTGAATAAATAAGACCCTGTATATGCTTCATCAAGTGACCTAGAAATCATGTCAATGGGAACAATGCAGCAACAATGGACACCACCATTGTTACCAGAAACGTTTGGCTGAAATGTCGGTCAAAATTATGCCCCACTTAGGTACATTAATTTTACAACAGTTAAGGAACTTTGCAACAGAATATGCCCGCCCGGCATTGATATTCCTCTCATTATCAGCTAAACTCCCATACCATTCTTATCAACATTCACGATGAGGTAGGGTCGAGTGTCTCTAGAGCTTAGACTATGTACAAACATTGAATCATATTATAACTCAATAACTAGTAATCAAAACACTATGATCTCTTTTATCAATCTTTAGGGAGTGCTTATTTAAATGTGTAATTCATGAAGGCTATATATAGCAAGGAAAATATAACAGAGTGAGGGTGAAGCCAAAAGTGTCGAGAATGAAGGCGAGCCATTGCGTCAGAAATGTATTTCAGAGCTGCTTTCCAGCCGCCCGTTTTGTGTACGCAGCCGAGCACCTGCGCACCTATATGCGCCAAACACTTGTTCCAGATTGCACTTTGGATTTGATGTATGGAACACAAATTTTCGTCCCCTCTTCCCCTCGAGCACCAGCCTTTTGGTTGGAGCTTCAAATCCATGAAAAGTCAAAGCTGTCCATCTGTTATAAATATATAAATACCTATACAGCTTGCATTTTTTTTTGTTAAGGACCAAACCAATATCCAAATCCTCAAATACAAAAATATGAATGGAAACCAAGGAAAATAGATGGCACGATGAAAACTAAAAATATATCAGCAAGCACTCAGCTGCAATGTTGACAATAATGAGAAAGACTAGTCAGAACATCCTTTTGTTATGTTCCAGCCATCATCTCAAGTGTGAAGCCTACATGTTTAAAGCCTATATGCTTCAAACAGAATTGTTTTGGCTGGAAAGCAGCTCAGGTTCTGAACATGTGACATCTCTTTCATGTGTATGTGTATACATGTGCAGAAGCTCTAAGCACACCACATTTCCGAGAGTCACGTCATTTTTACCGACAGTATTGGCTTCAAACAAATACGTGTCTTCCCTTAGGCATTTAAACTTCCTACACCTAGTATTCATAACAGCTTTTGAAAATCTTTTGTAATATTCTATATTTTATTATATTTTCAGATAGATCCTTCCAGTAGAAGAAGATTGATAATATGACATGGCATTTTGATAATTGGTTGAGTTATATGTGATTCGATGACCAAAAACACTCAATTTTGACAGCATGCCAGTCTGCAATTTTGAAAGATGTTGACCATATTCTGGAGTACTCATAAGCAGCTTAAAAATGAGGTTAAAAGATTAAAAGATATTCATAGATAGTGCCCAACCACTATCTGGATTTTCAAATGTCACTGAATTTCAGCTTACTATCTTGGTCCATTTAAAAAATAAATAAGGAGGGGAATTTTTCTGAAAAGAACTATATACAAAATAAAGCTTCTCAAACCCTTGGAATAGTTTGAAATTGTAATGTTGTTCTGCAATGTGCTAAAACCATCATATTTTAAAACAATTTTTAAAATCTGTTATAAGAGCTCCCAACAAGAAAGGTTTGAATAAGAAATAAGAGTAAAACGTTTTTTTTAATACACATCTGAAAATAATCCAAGAAAATTGGCTGCACTAACTTGGACAAAACTTATGGAATAGTATGCTGTGGAGGCATGGAAATAATAATGAAATATTTTTGAAAATTATAGCACTATGTGAAAAATCCAGCAATCTTCCCTATTAGCCTTTCTATTCACTGACGCGATTAAAGCGCCACACAAGTGATCCCAACAATGATAAACTGCTTGTACCAAGCATCATAAAAATAAACATACCTGTATATGTAATACTGAAAATAAACTTTTGGATGATATTTATGTAATTAAGGACTAAAATGAGTGTTTATTGTTGTTATTGTATGAGCAATGTAAAGTACTAAAAGTAAGTTTTGATATATTTTGTCTCCAAAAAGCAGTATTGTTTTCTTAAAAATCATGAAATGAAATAGAGATAAAATTTGTTTTTCTCGGATAGGTTAGGTATATGAACTTACATTTTTTTAGAGCAGCTTTCCATTTATTCTATTTACATTTACTGTTCTTGCCATTATTTTTACAATTCCCAACGCAACCAGGTATTTTTTATTCTAATGCTAAAATGTCACCATAGAGATTATGTGGGTATTCCACTCCATCAGAGAATGTTTCCCTCTTTGTCCAAGTTGCACATGGTTTTCAATTTTGTTTTTTCCATTGCACATTTTGCTCCTGGCAAATAACTGCTTTATGGTATGTTTTTCCAGAAAATGTGTCATATGCAATATCAAAAAAGACAAATCTTATAAATCATAAAGTATTATTGTTTTTTAGCCAGTTTTTGGCAGTTACATCACAATGCCATGTAGCATACGTAAACAAATTGATTACACCATATGTGGAGCTTTACTTTCCTGATGAAAATTACATACATACATAAGCTAATCACTAATGCAGCTGCTATTCAATCTTGCACTAAGTAACAAATATCCTTATATGATAGAGAACCATTTTTTCATTCAGTTTCCCAGAATATTCCAATGAAATTAACACAGACTGTCAACATTGTAGTTGTAATTTTAGGCATTACTGTTTTATATTGAAGATCCACAAAATGTGAACTTGAACACACAGGCCAATTAAGTTGTCTTACTGATTGTGGGAAGCATAACTGTGGAAGACTCATATGTTGACAAGAATATATTCAAGGTGGCAAGACATAACTAAAGAATGGGTTTCTGTGAGCTTACAGAAATGTCCATGGTCTCCATGCATGAAAGTTGATTGCATACTTATGTGTGAGGGTTAAGGGAGGCTGAGATATGAAAGCAATTCTTGTAGTTTTGCTCTGGCCTGCCAAAAACTGTGATAATACCTATACTAACTCCAGCATCCCTTTTGTAAAAAAAAATGAGCACTTAGCAGCTTGGAAGTTTTAGGCCATCCGTCAAGTGAATGCATTTTCATCTGAAATATGTTTGTCAGGTTAGGAATTGGATGAAAAGTATTTTATTTATATAGATTTTGCATGATCTTAATCATCTAGAAGAAAAAATTTGAATGTGAGTTAATTTAAGCTATCAACTGACTGACCGATAGTCAATCATTTTTAATACCAATATTGCATTATCTGCATTCAAAAGGCAGAGCCGGAGTCATACACAATAAACACTAAATATTTGTTGCAAGTAATCACATATGACTTGTATCTTGCTGTCGCTACGACTTTATATGAATATATCTCAATTTGTATAATGCAACCTAAAATGGTATGGGATTATTCAAGACTCTCAACTTTACAAGCTGTTTGATGAATATGAATTGAACAAAAACAGAACCACTCAACAACTGGCCTGACGCATTTTACACTCTTTCTATCACTGATTATCATTCTGTGAGTTGCTTGGACTAGTTCTCATCATTAAGCACATAAGCATAAGCCTCTATCAACAAAACAGATGAAAAGTAATGCTCTTCAGTTTAAAGTCCCAATCTCAATATGAAATCATAGTACTTACAAGAGGTACAATTTTTTCATCATTCAGAAATTATAACATCAATACCCTATACCTCAGTAAGGGGAAGAATTTTGAGACCCACATTTATAAGAAACCTGATTTGATCAAATGTTCTGCCCTAGTCTTTAGTCTGTATTTATATCCAGCAAATGTTAACAACAGTTCTAAATTTTCTGAGCCTCTGCAATGTCATTTTAACATTAATATTATGACTTTGCTCACTTCCTAAGGTTTCAAACACTTCAGAAGTATTACTGTGTTAGCTGAATATTAATTATCCATGAACAAGATATTATGTGTGTTTTTAACATTGTTATTCATTCATATCTATTTGTATTACTTTATTATTATATGATGCTAGTTGATTCATAAACATTACTTTTATTATTTCTAAAAATACAGATGCAAAAATCAAATAACGCCAACACCTTTGATGTAGATCTATATCTCCCCCACCTAGAAATTGTAGAATATAGGCAACAGCTGTGTTATGACATAATGTGTGGGTTCTACATAATAAATAACTACAAAATGATTTTTCAAACAAAAAAATTTAAGAACATGTGGTTCTCCAGCTATGCTCTAATCTCATATTCATTACTTTTACAATTGATTTCCGATTTGAATAATTCAGTCGATTTGCAACCTAGCAAGACAAAGGAGAAAATCGCATTTTCGCCTAAATTTTTCCTTTCAGTCACGCAATCTGTTGCGTAAAAGCAATCCACTTTTAATCAATACAGCATCTGAAAAATGTCCTGAAAACATGACAAATGTGGAAAATCTAAATTGGAAGCTACCGATGCCAAAAATAGATTTATCCTCCTACGGGTACATAGGTTATGGAAATTGAGGAAGCATCTTAGGAACATCGTGCTCTTTGTTAGCACTTTAGAAAGCTTAAAGGAGCTTTTCTATATTTAAAAGGCGTATAGCTCAAACTTGATCCACAAAAAAGCTCTAGATAGTTCCATTTATAAATCACCTACCTGCTACAACCAAATAAAGTGAAAATTGACAGACTCCCAATGTGTGTTTTGGCTTGCGCTTATCACTAATGAAGCACCATTACAGAATTATAGAATTGATTGATGTCGAACAATTTAGCACTAAATCCGAATTTACAATTATGTAACTGTTGTTCTAGGACTCGAAGATATATCACTTCTCCCGTAATGAATTTAAGCACCTCGAAATGCAGAAAATTGGTTCACGTTTACCACTTCAGCACCAGATACATTTGCTTGGAGTTATTTCTTATTTCCCATGACAGCTGAATCAGGCAGGCAGCAATTGACGCTCGTTGACGTCAAACGGTCAAACGTAAAATGTCAAGCCATGGAAAAGAAGTTTCCAGAGCATTGGGTGGAGTTCCTGACCACAAAGCCCCTATAAAAATTGTTTAAAATTCATATCTATAGATGGCAGGAGCCACGGAAAGCTAAAAGGAAGAGGAAGAAGGAATTTACTCCAGCTGTAGCATACATACATTACAGTTAACTTTCATTTTAGTTATTCTGGGTGAAATAAAAAATTAAGCAACTGAGTCTGAAAGAAACAGTGTTTGAAGATTCAAAGCAAGTAAATAATGGAATTATGGAAACCATAAGCTGTTTGAGAAAAAATGGTAAACTCGAATACTTGTCTACTTTCCACTACCTTTAGTACGTATCCGGTATCTGCCGGTATCCTACCATTCCTACAGTTTTGCGTTTGACAAGTGAGTGACGAACTCAGACTAAAAATATAAATAAATCAAATTCAAGCGGATAACCAAATGGAAATGGTATTTACCATTTTGGGTTGGTATTTACCAATCCGTTCAAGCGAGTGTAGTTATCAGTTTGGTTATAAGATCCGTGACGTCACGAATCAGCTGTTATATGTCATAGTTATCACCGCAAAATTGTGGTATTTACCCAACTCAAGAGTAGTTTTATATTTCTGGTTATTATTTGAAATGTGACAAGTTAGAATTTTGCCGGGTATTGGATATTGTTATTGTACTTCAGCTTCATTTTTGAGAAAAAAGATACAGGCTGACTTCACTTTTACCATAAAGTGGAGCACCTTATTAGTTATACTCATTACGGTTGTTGGGGACACTTTAAATGTAGTTCCTATGCTTAACAAAGTATCCTGTGTAGCCATATACCACAAGAATATTAAAATATGGCCATATAAACTCACTAGATGATATCCACCTGTATACGGTTTTGCTAATTTCTTTTTTCATCATTTCTGCTGAATCAATAAATGTTTTCTTTGACATGCGGAAAATTTAGAGAATTGAAAGTTATCATAGCTACAAAGCCATGGTTCCATCACTAAAAAAAAAAACTGAAAAAAACATTTCTCCCATGAATATTATGAAAGGTTTCTTATTTAAACTTTCCATATACAGTTGTAGACGAAAAAGCACCGATTATTAAGTGATAATAAAAGTAATCAGAGATTATATACGCGCTTTTCTAAAATAAACAACTTGCAACAAAACCGCGGTTAAAACCAACGCGTTCAAGCGATTCGTGTAACTGACGTCATCAACCCGTGTGTCATCTTGAACCATATTATAACCGCGGCACATAACACAGAAATTTTGGTTATTCGCTTGGATTTGATTATAGACTTACCATTCTTACGGCACTGTAATGCATGAAGACAAACAAACCCAATTCAAAACAAATACAAACAATAAGCTGTGTATGTGCAGACCACAGCTGATTCCACCAGTGGCGTAGGTGCTTTTTTTGTAATGGTGTTCTGGTTGATACACCCAGTATCACCTTCCATGGCAGTGAAAAGAATAAACACAGAGAAGTAAACAAGGTTTTATTATTGGAACTTAATTATCAGGTTTATTGTTTCATAATACCTAGTACAAAGGTATATAAACAAGAGAGAGAGTATTATGTAAATAATAAGAATTGAGTAGAAACTTTCCTGTCCAGAGTATGAATACAAAAAGAAACAGTAAGAAAATGATAGTAACCATGATCAAAAGTTGTATATAAAAAAATATATAAACAAACAGAAAAAGAATAAATAATTGACGCATCAATTTAAATATTCTGTCTTGATATTGAAGGCACAAAAAAACTATTCATTCCTTAAGAAAGATCTTAGCTTAAATAATTCCCTAAAGTATTTAAAAAGTTTGTATCATAAATTCAACTCATTCGTTTTATTTAGGCAAGCAAAGACACAGATTTGGTTCAAACGATCTGACAGAATATGCTCTCTCAATGGATTGTATAATGGACATTCCAGGATTAGATGTCCTAAAGATTCGGTCTTTCGAGTATTACGTATTGTACAATAGTCTGTTTGGTCAACCCTGTATGAAATATTGTTTAGGAAGATTTTGAGACTACATTTATTGTGGAGCTTAAGTTGGATTATAAATCGTTTTATACATAACGGTATACTTGGGGATTTAGTGTACTCTGTAGACTCTGATAGCCATTTAGCGCGTCAAAAAGTTCTTGTATTGGTATATGCTGATCCAGATATGGATGTAAAACATCTCAAAAGCTAAAGTCAACATTGGGGGTAGGTTTATACATTATTTTATATTAGTCAATCCATGTTTGGAGATTAAGTGCATATTTCAGTAAAACAATTCCTTTGGACTTGTTACTCTCCCTAAGTCATTATTTATAATTCATTTTATAATTTTGCTTTTTATTTTTTTGTAATTATCAGGTTTTATTGATTTTGAAATAATAATCTTTTTGTGAGTAATGATCGTACACGTTTGAAGGGGCATTCAAGTTAGAGGTATAATGGTACAACTTAATGGTAAAATATTGTTCTAAAACTTGTTTACAGAGCAATGGAAAATGATTACTTAAAGGTTCATCTTCGAATACATGGTCCTTAAACACATTTCCGAATCCAAGAGGTAAATTTTGCAATGTATAATTTGTTAATATTTGTGAAGCACTTGTCATATTTTTTTTGCCAACTTCTAACCTTTCCTTATATAACCTAAAGCAATGTTCTTCATATTTACACACATTTATTACAAAAGCGGAGGCTTTAACTAATTTTCCATATGTTTTTCTCATTTGTAATTTCGATATAGAATCTCCTGAAGTTTCTAACAAATCTAAACAACTCTGGCATTTTATAGACTTTTTTAGCCTCTTGACAACAAAACCTGCAACATATGCAACAACATCTTCCAAATACAGTTTAAGCTACCAAGGACTTATTCGAAGAAAGTTTTTAAATTGTATAAAATCTTCATCTTCCTCTATACTGTTTGATGATGAGGTCATATCCTCACTAATTTTGATCTCTAAAGATGATGATGAACAGTGCAAAATGGATGTGCTATCTAATGCCACGACATTGGATGCTTCATTGCCACTTATTTCAGTATGAAGTAATAATTTTTTTAAAATATTCTGAAACTGTTTCGAGGTAGGATTATTGCTGTATCCTCCTTTGCTTCTTATACAACTGAAGAAAATGATCTTGAGATAACTTATATGTGAGAAGGTACTTTGGTTTCTTTGACTCTATATCCATACAGGCTGTTTATTGAAATTATGAATCCCAAAAATCCTAATTTTCTTCTAGAAAGTATAACTCTAGTGTCTCCTAATTTTAACGATTTCAAATAATCCTTCGCTTCTTCTAAGAAATTGAAATATTGTTCAGTAGCAGCTGACAACGGTTTCTCATAAGGTTTTTTTGACATCCTATTCCTTGAATTAAACATCAAATAAATTGTTTACTGTTCTACAAAAATATGCTGTAGCTTCTGAATCCTTGAAGTCAGCCATAGCCAGATCTTTGTTCAAAAAGTCCAATGCTTCTGCAACACTCTTGCTCAAAGTCTGGACGGCAAGTTTAACTTTCATCTTTTCATTCACCCATTGGAGATTCTTTTTATTTTTTCTTATCACTAGGAAACCTGAAAGATCAAAAATGTGTCTAACAGAAGAGTATTTTTTGAAAATCACCACACATACAGTGTAAAAACAACCAATAACTATAAAATGTCTATTTCTTAATACTAAAAATCACAACGCATCCCCATGCGCTACGCCCTTGTCCACCTCTAACCTCTAACTCACCTGTGGAAGGTTGCCTCAGTTTTTTCACTGCTAACTCCACAAAGAATGCACTTCCGACGTCCCATTGTCTTTGAAAATTGTCTATCAACGATAACAATGCTATAATTGCCGCTAAAACAACCTGAAAACATTTTTGAATACTCGCAACAAATTCACTGTGCACAACAACAAACACCAGATGTTTGTAAATTCTGTGTACGCATCCACCACTTGCCGTTGAACACCGTTGCCACGTTCGGCAAAAAGTCGGTAGAAATGTGCTACTTTCGAATGAGAGCAAGTTTCGTCCAAGGTGGAACAAATCCAGTCAAACAACTGACTGGGCAAAATATTATACGTAATGTTCGCTATGAATTACCCAACATGAACCTGCATCCGTTTTGAATTGAATTTACGGCGTGTCGGCCACCTCTGTGACCGTTTTTGCGAGTATAAACAAATATGAAAAGAAAAAATAAATTTTTAAAATTTAAAATGACGTTGACAACTGCCTAGGAGCAGTTGTTTGATCGACCCACGATCGACCGGAGCGTCCACACTTTATTTAAGTCCACCTTCATTTCGGGTGGAGTGCACACCAATATCTCATTCCATTTTCAATAGATTTTTCAGTATGGAGAAGTGGCAGCGTCGCATATATTTGTTTACCGTAAATACAGTTATGTTGACGACGATATTTTGTAGGGAATTATTTGTCTATTTATATTTTTAGTCTGAGGTGACGAACCACAGAGCGAATGGGAAACACAGCACTGTTGCGGGTGCATAATATGACAACCATGTCGCACCCTCAAAAAAAGGCGGCGTATTCACAACTGACGTTTCTGATCCTGCCTGTGGCGTGGCTGTGCTTTGCAAAAATAACCTAACTTTTTCCGCAAGCGATTTTCATTGTGCGTAACATAAACATTTCATTTTGATTGAATAAAGTCCCTATTATGTTATTTGAGACATATGCCTTTTGTTCAGAGTTGTGAAGTATAAAAATATAGGTACCCAAAGCTGTAATATATTTGTAAATACTAAAAGACAAACTTCAAATCAAAACTGTTTCTTTTCCAAGGTGATCCCAGCCAGTAGCCAGACTTCTGCAGATGCTGAGGAAGATTAGAGATGCAGCGGTTACTCATTTGAGGAGTGTAATATTTGGAGATCATACATGTTGGAATCTCCACATAACTTTTTGAACAGTGGATCACTACGAAAAATTCAGCTGCGGGTGTCAACCCCTGAGGTCCTGAGAATTATCAGAAGTTCAGCGATTACTTGTGATCTAACCAGAAGGCACAGCTCTGTAGAATATTTGCAGGCCATAACATTTGTAAGTTTTTATATGACTCAATAACCAGCGATGATTTTATACTGCTTTTTGTCCAAAATAGTTTCCATACTTCTTTTAAATCATCTATTCTTAGAGCAGCAGAGTTGATATCCAAAGCTCAGTATAATTTCAATGAAATCGAAGCCATATGTTATTGAACAATAACTTGGGTGCCCACAGGGTGGTGTCAGATAGGCCATAGTCTCTTCTGTGACCACTTTGACTTTAAATTTGCATATTTAGCATGGTTTTGTGTACAACTTTGAGAATTTTATAGAATTTGTCCCCCTGAGAAAATTGCTACTTCTGCTCATCAAAAAATTTTGGGGGCAGGTACAATTTCACAAAAAGTTATGTCTTGATGATGATCAGCAGTCCTGAGAAAAATTCCTGTCAGTATCCATGGACAATAATATTATTCTAATAAAAAAAAGAAATCTGAATTGTAGTAACATATCAACACAGTTCAATATTTTTTCCTAATTTTTGATTTATGCAGGTGCCAATTAAAGCTGGGGAATGGAAACATCTGGACCATAATAATGTTAATGCAAATTTGTTTGTAGGAAAATGTATGAGATTTATATAATAAATATATATTTAGATATTTGCAGTATATGTTTTTCTTCTGAACCTTTCTAGATTAGTAAGTAGATATGAGTGATCTTATAACAGCTTGTGTTATTGACGTTTCTATTTTAATATACAAAAAAGCACTGTTTCGTCAAGATAGCGCAAAATGTTAATAACACATGCTGTTATAAGATCTCGCATATCCCACCAAATTTCTATATATAAAAATGAAGCAATCTCAGATTCATTTGTAGAGCTGGCAACGTTGTGGAGTATTAATATACAATCTGGCAACCGTGTCGCACCCTCAAAAAATGGCCGCTGACAACCACACAAGTCACCGTGTTGCCATTGAATAGCATGGAATTAAACCTTCTTCAGTGTATATGTTTTGTGGGTGGACCACAGGACAGGGACGGACTAAGAGTGAACTAACGAATGTTTTGATGAAGTGGTTTTGATATTTGATCATTGTTGATTATCACGTAATATCTTCTTATAATTATTGTGACCCATTTAAACCGCAAAAGACTCATTAATTTCTTGTATTCCAAAGGAATACCATGCAAGACGATATCTCATACGAGAAACTTGCTATTCAGTGTGGTCCACGTTCAACATCTTATCGGCAAAAAGATTTGAATAAACATGTGGGGCGAAAGCATTTAGGTAAGCCTTTTATATTTGCCAATCAACATCTCGGACCGAGTAAAGATAACATGGCCACGCAAGACGACTGTTGAAATATAGAAAGATAAAGCCGCAAATTTCCTTTGCATTTTTCATGTGTTGTGCAACGATTTCGGGAAAAAAATTCGCTACGGATAGCCTTCTAGTCTAGTAGAGTATATTTCAACAGTTGTCTTGCGTGGCCATGTTACCTTTACTTGGGCCCAGATCTCTCCATAGCTTTGCAAATCACAACACTTTACATGCGGTATTCAGAATGCATTGGCATTGAACTGGAGAGAAGACATTGTTTTACTATCACTGCCTTGCGTGGTGCAGTTCAATGTACACACAGTACTAATCAGAAGCATTCAAATGCTTATGTAGGCTTGTCAGAATTTGGACGACTATGAATGTGATTTGACAGAAAGAAATTAGGTAAACTGTACTGTTAACTTTATAACCTCTTCACTTTTTCTATGCTCTTCACAAGGGGACTTCCAATTCATTGACACTTCTATTGACCAATATGCCAACATACTTTTGCTCATCTGTAAGTATGATGTTGTTGCATTTTAGACTGGTTAGTATGACCCCCCAGACTTCTTAAGAGTCTGCCTCAAAATGCTATCTTCCAAACTGATAACCATAAGCAAATGTCTTAACTTCTTATTATTGAAAATGTTTAATACCACAGATTTATTAATACAACATCTGGAAAAATACCTGTGTTAAACGCCCCTATTGGCCATCAGGCCATAAATGGTTGGGCAGGCAGTGACAAGTGCTCAGAAGTCAGAAGCATCATATACATGTATCTTAGAATAACTTTTCACACTTGTCTGATTTGAGCTAGCTGTCAATCTACTATGAGCAAGTGTACAGCTACAGGGTAACAACATTCTAATAACATTAGCATTTATTAGCAGCTCTAGACTCTTTACTACTCAATATGCTGTGCTGTAATATAAACACACTCCTTTGTCAGTATATTGAAATTAAAATATCTCTAACACCATACTTTATATCAAAACACCTTTTTCAACTGTTGTGATAATATTTTTTATTTTTGTTCCCCCTAGGTATAACCAATAAGTGTGAACTGTGTAATAAGAGATGCTCAAGTCAATACTCACTTCTCAGGCACTACCAACAAATTCATCAAATTGATGCCATTGAATTCAAGGTAGCTGATAATGAAGAACTTAATTATTGTAAATTTTGTGACAGAACCTATAAATATAGAAAGGATTTGTATAAACACATACGATTAAAACACAGTAAGTATAGATATAGATTAACCCGAAAGTTGTGAATTGAAATTGCTAAAAAAAAAAAACAAATCTGGTAAAATACATATTAGTATTCAGCGAATATTCATAAAACAATGAGTAATGTGGTTTCGTGTATATGACGTTGAATATCTCCTATTCCTCTGTAGAAGACCAGTAACTATTTGGCAACCATATTCACGCAACTGTGAGATACAATAGTGATGCACATAATACTAAACATATTTTCAGTATTTGCATAGCCTTATACATCTAAGTAACTTCATGGAGCAGTTTGAACTGTTAACACATACGTATTGTCTTTTTGCAGTTTTGTTCTTTCATCTTTCTCATGAATCATCTGGCAATGGTCCTGAACCACATTAGTAATATAACTCGAGAAAAGCGATGAAGTTAGAGTCAATCAGATGCAGACAGTGCTCAGTGTAAGAAGGTTGTGCCTTATCCAAATATTTGTCTTATTTTAAGAGCAAATGTATGGGGAAATCATTGATGTGTGAAATATGTACATACTTATAGGTGCATAAAATTACTTGTTGGAAGTGTATACATAAATGAAATATAATACCCGATCCTCAACCCCTACAAAATATATTCTGAAAGTGATGAGCTTCTGAATCATGAAAAGTTTGAGCAGTTTTTATTTTCTTTGTGTTTTTGCCCTTAGCTATTGCAAACCTCTGAAACATTTAATAAACATAACTTCTGAAAATACTGTAAATACACTACCCTAAGGCGCTTCATTCGCGTAAGATTGTCTAAGCTTCACAACTGTTTTTTTGTTTTTTGGTGGCAAATTTCTTTGAAAAGTAAACCAATTTTAAGATTGAAGGAACCTTACAAAAACGTGATAATAATCTCAAAATTACTACAAGTAGCAGAATAACACATACCAAATCATCCCATCTAGTACCAGGCGCTTCATTCGCGGAAGATTGTCTAAGCTTCACAACTGTTTTTTTGTTTTTTGGTGGCAAATTTCTTTGAAAAGTAAACCAATTTTAAGATTGAAGGAACCTTACAAAAACGTGATAATAATCTCAAAATTACTACAAGTAGCAGAATAACACATACCAAATCATCCCATCTAGTACCAGGCCGAGTGCCTGGTATGCAGTATTTGATTCTGACTGCATACTTGGTACTCTGCTTTTTGAAAAAAAAAAATAGTAATCAGTGCATCACTATCTGTTACTTGAAACGAATATTTGCCGAATCATCATTATTTATTTTTAGGTGCCACTCCAATAAGTAATGGTAAAGTTAAAACACCAACAGGTGGAAGTGATAAAAAAGATAAGATGCTTTGTCATGTTTGCTCAGAAGGATTCCGTACAAAGTTCATCTTGACTCGACATTTAAAGGAGATGCATGGTGAAGTTCTACCAATCACCTCATCAGGTGTGTGTCCTCTGTGTGATGTTGATGTTAAGAATGGTGATAACATCCTTGCTCACTTGGAAAAGGCACATCAGGTCACGGTTGAATCAGAGAAACTGTACTTCAAATCAATTGAAGGTAGGTTATATGATATCAAGATGAAACATTTATCCTTGTTATTCAGATAATATGGAGGAGGAATAATAACAAGTAAAGTGCTTATAAACATAGGGCCTCAATCTTAGATATCCTCTTGACAAGATATATGTCTACAAGTGATGTAAATTTCAGCGCCACTGATGGCACTGTGTCAAAATTAAATTTTACAGGTTTTCAAGATACAAATGGTTTGCTAGACAAATTAAGAAACCTGACATACTGTTCATTGACAAAACAGCATTAAATATCTACCTCGATACAGATAAAATAGTGGTACCTATCTAAAACAGAAAATATAAATGCAATACAACATATTATTTGTTTTGGTTGCTCACCCCCTCACTCATCCCCAGGTAACTTTTGAACAAATGAACCATTCTACAAACACAGCTAAGAACCATCTTGGCAGACAATAATTTCAATTACAAAAGTATTAATCTTTGTGCATTAGTAGTAGTAGTGGTGGTAGGGAGGCGAAGCCTTGCAACTATGCCACCTTTGAGCCTTTTTGCAGACCTCGTAGTATCAACACTGTACCGCGTGGGCCAATAGTAAAGGGCTCTGGTTGGTTCTCAACCTTGATCGATCGGTTAAAAAATTTTATAATAAAAGTGGCTAAAAGAAATTGCTGCAAATTATTTTCAGCTCCCTGAAATGGCCGCTAGGTCTCGCCATTCCAATTTCAAAAAGTCCATTAAATTCAATGAAGTCTAAAAAAATTGTGTTTATAAAACAAACCATTTTTAAATTACCCTTGTATTACGACTTTTTTGAATAAGTCACCAAGCTACAATATTTTCAAAAATAAAATTATTTTATGCAAATGCGTTATATTTTAAAGATTCTGCAGTCAGCAATTTTTGTTTGTACCATCTCAATCGAAATTCAGCAAGAAACGTGAATTCAGGATTTACATAAAATTTATAAATTTAGATTTCTAGAAATGTGACTTGTTGTCCCCAAGCCCTTCATTTGTATAGAATCACAACGAAATGTATAGGTCATGCACATTTTAGGTGCTCTTACTTAGTCAAACTCCTCCATCATGTGATTGCATGGTACAATTTGTCATAAAAGTTTCATTAAAACAAGCAACACATAAAAAGTGAATCGCGTTACGACTTATCCAGTGTTTAATTGAGAAATTCTTGCAACAAAATCGATCTCATGAAGTCTAAGGGGTATCAACACTTTTAAACTTCCCCAAAACTTACCAGGCAACATTTTGAGCACCAAATGAGATTTATTAGACATCGGAATTTTTCAGCCTTCTGTTTTCTTGCCCACGCCCTATAGTAACCAGTATATTTACATTCTTACAGATTTTGAGCAGTGGCGGGAACATATATGTATTGATAGCTTGAATCACTTCGCTAAAGCTCGCGGAGTTGATAACGTTAAGGATGGGCAGCGCATGTACTTGAATTGCCATTACTCTGGAAAGCAACGAGATCGAGGTAGTGGTATACGGCAACGGAATTCTGACAGGATTTGTAAAAGAGGAAAAGTTTGTCCAGCTCGCCTTGTCGTGACCTGTACTTCTGAGGGGGTAGAAGTAATTTATTATAAGACTCACGTTGGTCATAGCAATGACGTAAAATGTTTGAGGCTTACTCGTACTGAAAAGGAACAAATAGCTAATCTGTTGTTAAATGATATTCCCCATCAGAAGATTATCGAAGAAATGAGGAAGAGTATGCCTCCTTCAAGAAGGGGTGCAGTGAAAATGCAAGATTTATATAATATTCGAAGAGATTTCAACATAGATTGCGCGAAAGTGATAATGAGGACCCATGACCTGAGTTTAGATATTAGCAAAGATATGGTACACTCTATACAACCAAACATATGGAAAGTAACATCAAATAATGGAGAATATACTGTAGTTTTTTCTACCAAAGCCAAATGTCAGGGATGCCATCTTTTATGTTGGGTATGTGACGTGTGTGTTCATCAATTTTCTTGCACCTGCAATGATAATTTGGTCAAAGGTGGTTTCTGTGAGCACATACATGCTTGTGCACGTCTTCAGAAGTTGAAAGTTTTTATTGAAACGAATGCTGAACCAGCAAATGGAGAAGACCACATATATTGTATAACTCAGGAAATTGTACCAGAAGAACAAAAGGTTGAAAATTCGACTGATAGTCGATATAAATTGTCTTTTCTATTAAACGCTTCACTTGGAATCATCTCGGCGCTTGATCATGAGGGCTGTGAAAAAGCTCTTCCTATTGTCAAGAAGTGTATTGATGATATTATGCTATTGAAACGAAAGCAAATAGCAGTTGAAATTGAGCGTAGTGATCATAATTATAGTAGACCAACTGAATCTGAATAAGAACATGTTTGTGTTCCTAAACTTTGATTTCAGGCAATTAGGATTATCATACTTTTTTTTATATACTCCAACTACCACAAAGGTCTAAGGCCTAAACACCTATTGGGTACCGTGGGGCTATACTGCATATTTTAACCTATCAGGCTATTCGTCACATTCGCTACCATTCTATTCACCCTATACAGCGCTAATCTCCAGCTGCTGAGAGCTACCGTATGCAACAATATTATTTTCTTTCATGTATTCTGTTCTTCATTAAAGAAAAGATGAAATTTATTTCTAAGAATGAAGATTTCATTTATTGTTTTTTTTACAATTGGCAAGATATAGAATGCAAAAGGCTGATTTACATTCTGTTGTATTTTTTTGTCAGTTGTTAAGTTTCTGAAGTGAGTCGTTTTGAGGTTGTTTTGCGTACATACATAAAAAATTATGTTTTCCTGTTTGAATAAAATTGTTCAAAAATATTGAATTTATCATTGGAACATCCTAAGTGTGTTTTTCTTTTCATATGTACTTAGACAAAAAAAATATTGGTCTAAAACTGGACATGGTAGAGTTAATAGTACTCCTAATAAAAATTATCCACCGCGTCTGAAGCAACTGACGTTTTAAAAAAGTACCATATAATTCTATGTGTTATATTTTATCTCTGGAAATTTTAGGAAATCTGTATCGATGTCAATTTTCTGATAGTTTGCGTTAGAAGAAGATGGTTCGATTGACACATCAATATTTGATGTAATAACTGTGTAAAGATTATTTTCATCATCATAATGGGTTTCTATCAGTTTCTAGGAATACTAAAAAGTTATATGAGAAACATATTTTAATGTTTAAATTGCAATAGTACATAGGTAGAAATGTATATTCCTAGAGTACTATGCATTTCCATCTTGATGATACATTAATTTTTCACCGGGACATCCGACTGTCAAACCATCCTTCTTTACTGTCGCTCGCAAAATTTGAAGACAGAATTAATATTTTGTGAAATACTATTTTTATAGTAAATTTCCTCAGCTCTCATCCTATAGATACGGATTTCTAAAATTCTCATAGTTATTCGAGATAAATAAAAGGCAATAATTTTAGAACCTCAGAGATTTCAGGTGAGTTGGAAATTGATTTTATTCTCAGTACTATTAAAAGCCTCCATGCCCAATTTGAGTCTGTCATTAATTTTTCTGACCCACAAGACCTCTGGGGATTAAAAGAAATTATCAAGATGATAAAGATATAGGTATTCTCTGGGGCTTGAGGGTATTTTATATTAATACTTAATTTTGATGAGTAATCCTGTAAGCTTACGAAATATCTCAAACACATTTTTGTTTGCGAGTTCAACCCTGGTGCAAACAAAATCTTTCACAAGTCTAGTGTCACTCAGCACGACGGCCCTTAGCCGGTTTATGTTATACATTCCATTCCTTCTCTGGGTACTTGTTCCCAGGATAAAGTTTCTTAAAAATGCGGGCGTGGCTCGCAATCACAGTTCAAGTAGTGCGTGGAAGAGATCAGACCAAGTAGTGTGCATTGTTGACCTAATTACAATGTTGATGTGCTATTGGCTGTAGTGTTTTGGTTACCTGAAAGGTGAGCAATCACGGAGTGTTTCCTTTATTCTACTGTACTGCATGGATTGATAACCATAATACTGTTAAGTTCATGATTATGAATGTCTTAAGCCATGTTTATAGCGATGCTGTACTTTTTACCTCCATAATTTAATTTATGGCTTACGACTTGTTATTGAATATCCGCAGGTGGGACGCCTCCAGGTTCTGGGGGTTGTTATGGGACTTTCGGAGCCCATTTGCTGGGTTGAGGTAGTTATGTTAATTACTGATCGGTTTCCTCTACCAGGGGAAACGTTGAAGCGCTTGGCCAAAGTGATATCCCGGTTCCTGGACTGTCTTTTTGTAACAATCGTTAAACTCGGCACGTCTGTCCGTACACCTAGCGTCCAAAGAGTTAGTATGTGTGACGACTCCTAGTCTGTCTGTGTGACGACTTAATGATCAGTCTGTGTGACGACTTAATGATCAGTCTGTCTGACGGTCAGGATCAGTCTGTGTGACGAATCCTTACTAGTGTTTGGGGTACACTAATGTAATGGTGAATAGTAGATTTGCGCATGTGATGACATGAGAGTTGAATACGGGACATACTCATAAGTCTTTTTCTAAAAATAGGAGTTGGTCCCGACAATCCGATCATGTCGCCTTATCGCTTGCCAAAGGAGGATAACTCGTCCTTTCGTTACCAAATAAGTGGCTTTTATATTACCCTGACATTGCTGCCCATATCGAATTGTTCACGTACTGCCCTTGTAGTAAAAATGAAATGGTGCAGGGTGGTACTTCGAAACCTTCTAAGATGGGTTTGTGGTTTTCACATTTATCATTATATTCTATTATTACCATCTCGTTCGTATCCTACAATCCTTATTTTACTTATGGGGGTGCTATAGTAAAGACTTCATTGATATAGGGTGCGGCATTTAAAAAAAAACGAGATCTTCGACCCCCCACATTCGCTTTTTAGTGATAAGCATTTCCATTGATAAATTTTTGATACGGCCCTGTTCGCCTGTAGCTTCTGAATCATCCCTGCAGTGTCACCTGTCACAGAGTCGCTCTGGAGTGCGTTCAGATGCTTTAAGCTGCTAAAGGATAACGTCTCGACAGGGTGACGTGCTGCGTCTTGATTGTATTATTCGGCAGGAAAAACATCTGACCGGCAAGGGTATCATGTAAAAAACCTATAAAACGTCAAAAAAAACCTATAAGATGACAACTTGCAGACTAGGTAGTTTTTAGGGCGCAAACAGTCATTCCACGTTTGCTCACTAGGATCGTTGTGAACGTCCATCTATGGAGGAATCACTCAACTACACTACGCATTATTGGTTGCATAGTTTTGTGAGACTGAGTGATCCGGGTCTATAGTTTTTATCTCTGAGAAGAAAGTTGGTTGAATAGCAAGATCGCATCTGGATGATTATGTGTATTGGTCTGCATGTGTATAAAATCAGTGATATTTGCTGTGTGAGAGAATAATTACTGAATATGACGGCTTATTTATATGTTGTGCTTTCTGAAGAGAGCTTATGTTCAAAGTTATAAATTACGAAAAACTGAGGAGAATTACGGGAAATCATCACCGCGCCCGTGTTGTGTGTAATCAATGTTAGCATGTATATGGCTTGCAATTCGACAGTGTACAGTGAATATAATTATTTATCTCTCTCATTTTTGAAATTTAGCAAACTTGTATATGTAATTTCCAGAATGGATAAGAAAAAGTGGCTGCACAACTAATTTCTAGCTTTGAAGCTCAATTAAGTGTATTTGAGACAAGAACCCAATGTAATTATCATCAACACATACAAGTTACAACTTAGACCTCCAGTAATGCCATCTCAGAAGCAGATTTTACATCACATCAGAGCCAAAGATTGATAACAAGCCTCATGACCTTTAGACAACACGTACAACTAAGTGTTAAGTTAATATCTTGTAGAAAAACCTACATAATGTCATGGGTAAGACGTCAATGGCATAATGTCACTTTTAAAGATACGTGAATACCCGTGCCGTACGGTGTAATTTAACAGCTGTCAGGATAGTAGTCTAACATAATTAATTTTTTTAACAAGATTGTTAAAAGAACGAGCAGTTTTGTTTATTATTCTCGTTTCCTCGTGAAAACGTTATTCTGAATATCTCAGAAATAGCTCGGAAAAAGGAACCCCGCGAACACACTATCATGAGCGAGAGCAATGTCGGAGCAAGAATTGCAACAACGGACATTGCTAAATATAACGTTGGTGCGAAAGCTGGGAAGATCTTATATTCAAGAGATTCTAATTTTTACATTTAAAAATATTGACAATTTTATCGGTGACCCACTTGGTGACTATAACACAAGAAATAGAAATATAAATCTTCTGTATCCAGTCCATCATCTCACGGTTACCGAAAAAATGTCCATTACAGCTGCACTAAAATATAGTTACCACAAGAAATTGAAAGGTTGGCAGATATAAAAGAATATAAAAAGAGTATTTATCAATTGTTAATGCACTTAGAACCATATGATCTTCAAGAATATTTTGAAATGTAAAATCTCTATATGTTATACGTTATATGTTTTGCCTCTTTGTTTTTTCTGTCTCGATGACACTGTCACGTATATTTCACCTAACAGTGTGTAATACATTGTAATCATGCACTGTTATTTTGAAATAAAGATTTATTATTATTATTATCTTATGGCACTTCGGCACGAATATTACGTGTCTTGAAAAGTGACAGTTTGTCGTTTTTTTTTGATATTTTATAGGTTTTTCGTGACATAACGTAGGTTTTTATACAAGATGTCAACTTAGCACTAGCTGTTGTACACCTGTTGTGAACTCATTTTGTAGCTGAACGTGTTGCCTAAACGTCATGATACTTCAGCTATCACTGTTTGGCTCCGACGTGATTTAACATCTGCTTCAGAGATGGCATTATTGGAGGTCTAAGCTGTAAGTTACAATACTATAGCTGTAAAGAAACGGCAGTGCATAGTGAGCTTTTGGGTGCTAATAATCTGCGTTAATGATAATTCCATTGGTTTCTTGTCTCAAATACACTTGCTTGAGATGCTAGACATTAGTTGCGCATCCACTTTTTCTTATTCATTCCGGAAATTACATATGCAAATTTGCTGAACTGCAAAAATGAGAGAGTTAAGAAATTAAAATCCCTGGTTGGTGAAGTAATTAATTTTATGTGAAATCTTATATTTTATACTTACATACAGCCACATATTGCAATTATATATATTCACTCTACACTGTCGAATTACAAGTCATATTCATGCTAACAGAGATTACACACAACGTGGGCGCGTTGGTGATTTCCTTTAATTTTTCTCAAAGTTTTTGAAAAGAAATGGGAAAAATAACCAGTCTTTAGAAAGAACAACATACAGGGTGCTTGGAAGGTCGATACGAAGTCTTGGGGAGGTGATAGGGCAGACCAATTAGAATATTTTAAGCCAAAGTCTTACGGTTTTCGAGATTTTCGATTTTTATTGAAAAAATATGCATTTTGTTCCTGTTATCACTGAAAGAACATCAGGCTATATGAAATAGTTTTTTTAATACCTGACAGTGTGATTTTTTTCTCCGAAGGTAGAGAAAAGAAAAACACATTGACTGGGAACATATAATAAATACATGTTTTCCTATTTTTGTGATACTGATAAGAAGCAACGTGTTTGCGTGCATGATAAAACTAAATTCCACACCTTTTTACTTTATTCCTTTCCAAACAAGTCAATAGTAATTCATGAATTTCAGTCTAAAAACAATGAATTAATTAGTTTGTAAAATGGCCGCTATCCACTATCGAAGAATACGCAGATATCGTTTACATGTATGGCAGGGCAGATGGCAATCGACTAGAAGCACGACGGTTGTACCAAGAGCGATTTCCTGGGAGAATATTGCCTAATGTCAAGAGTGTTTTACAATACTTACCGACGGGGGCTAAACAGGGAGTTTACACTGAAGAAATTGTATCAAGAGGCCATTAAATAAGAAAAATTCGAGAAGCTTTTTATTTAATGAAGCAAGACAGGTTATTAAATACAACAACTACAACTACCGAAGTAACACGTAGAGCTCGAGCATATATTAGAAAGAACGGTTCTCACTTTGAACATCAATAAAGCATGTTTCAATAGTTTATTTTGTTTAGTTTACTAATTTATGATTTAAATTTGAAAATCCGAATATCTCGAAAACTGTAAGACTTTGTACTGAGGTATGTTTGGCTTAAAAGACTCTAAATGGTCTGCCCTATCCCCTGCTCAAGTCTTTGTATCGACCTTCCAAACACCCTGTATAAATAACCCGTCGGGCACAGCATATTTAGTAATAATTTTCTCGCATAGCAAATATCACTAATTTTATACACATAATCATCCAAATGCGATCTTGCTACTCAACCAACTTTCCTTCCACATCTTCTTAGAGATAAACACTACTTGGCTTTCTGCAACCATCAATGCATGCTTGACCATGTCGTGTTGTTGAGTGATTCCTCCATAGATGGACGCTTTTGATGCAGCTCATAGCGAGCAAGCGTGGAATGAACTCTTTTGCACACTAAAAATTACCTAGTCTGCGAGACGACATTTTGTCGTTTTTTTACGCATTTCAGGATTTTTACATAATAACCCTGCGGAGCGCAAAATATATACACTAGTGGTGTATTTGGTTGGGTACCCAGAACATGTGAATGGTAAGTCTGAACAGGATATCTGAATGCTTGGATTGTGTCCGACGTACTCCGGGCGAAGTATCTGAACGCGTCCCAGTGGTATCTGTGATTGATGACAAATGACGTTTGCAGAAAATGTTGGGTTAAGTAGTCTAAAGAGTTGAATAAAAATAAATAACTAGAAAAATGAATATTATCCGCAAAGTAAGTTTTTACATTTTACCCACATGCCAGTAAAAATCAATTATTCCCCTTAGCGTAGAAACATCACTATATTGACATTTTCTCAGGTCACTCTGGAAGGCGTGAATACCAGATCAAGCATCACAAGAACCATCCATTTATATGCACCATGTTGCAAAAATCAAGCTGGAAGATACCGGATAACACCAAGGAAAGATCTACCTCTTACTTATGAAATGGCAAATCCTCCACATCAAATTGCCCATAGGAAAGCTTGGAATTCATGGAATACTTGTATGTTGTAAATATTGAATGTATTTGGTGTGGTCTGATTATGCTATTAACTGGTGGGTCACAAATGACCAATCTCAAAGCGTTTTTGCAATAATGGATCTAATGTATATAGTTGATCTCTTCTAAAATATCTATACAACTACCGAAAAACTATGATTTATGTATGAAGGGCCTCTAACATTCTTACTAGTTCAAGAAATTCTTATGTCATCTAGTTTAGCTACAAAAACCTTTTTATCATTTGATACCAGGGCCAAACTTTGCTCCTAGGGAGCAAATATATCTAATCAGAAAAATATAAATAACCTCGGTCAATAATAATAATAATAATAATAATAATGTTTATTGTCACAAAATACAAGTAAATATCAAATATTGTGCACAATAAACATAAAGCACCCAAAAAAAATTTGCACTTGTGTTTGGGTTTGTACAAAATAAAAACTAATAGTACAGTCAGTGTATGAAAAAAAGAAAAAACCCGTTAATACTGTATAATTTGGTGAATTATTATGGTAATGTCAGGAAAAATATCCAGACAATTAGAACTGAAGTAAAAGTATGGATGTTAGTGTAAGTAAAATGTTATTGATTTTGATAATGATTTTTCAGATCCAGAATTTCGTGGATGGAGTACCTTGGTTGTTGTAAAATCCATTTTTTTAGTTGTTTTTTAAATGATTTATTTGATTTAATTACTTTTAATGACTCTGGTATGAAGTTATAGAATTTTGGTCCCAAGAAAAACAGAGATCGTTGTGTAATGGTTTTTGATGTTTGTGGAATACACATTGAATTTTGATTGAATCTTGTTGGGTAGTTGTGAATGGTACAATTAAAGTATTTTGAATATTTGAAATAATGTATTAGACCACAATAAAAATAAATTTGTCTGCAATCTAATAGCTGAGCCTCCACATATAGAAAATCGCTTGAATAAGTAATCTCCCTTTGGAGGATCAATTTTAGAATTATTTTTTGGATTACCTCAACCTTTTTGTAAATATTATTCATAACTCCCCCTCAAGCCAAAATTCCGTAAAGTAATAGAGGATAAACAAGAGCATAATATAGATTATATAGATATTTCTTATCTAGAATATCTCTGAAGTACCTGAATTTTGGAATAATAAATGAAGAGAATTTATTTATCACTGCTCAAACCAAGGACCAAATTTGATACAACAGATTGATATAACTCCAACTAATGACCATTTTATTGAAAACATCAGTATCACTACTTACCTGAGAGGGATAACCTTGGGAAAAAAGCAGATATCAATTAATAATTCATGTCCACTAAATTCCCTTATAATGTTGTAACTTGTTCATGTATGAACTACAGTTTCTCAGGTATGTTTGGCTAAACTACACTGTCAACACACAAAGATATACATTTTGGCAATAATCCTATTTCTATTAAAGCTATTTTAGTATGCATGTAATTTTAAGTGTTTCTCTAGGAAAAGTCTTTATATTTCATGGGTGTAACTTATAAAATCAAGCTAGTCTTTTGTCAGCTATCCAGTACTGTTAGATCAAAATAGCTGAATAGATCATTTTTATGTGACATCATGCCTCCATATTTTCTGGAAGACAATAACAAACAGATTGTCATTTAGTGTTGATAAACTTCACTATTTTGCTATAAATCCTTGCTGTAAATATTGGGGACTTTATTGAAAATTGTTATTTAGTTATTTGTGAAGAACTATTGAAATGCACTAGTGAATTGATCAATGAGGAGAAACAGACATGCTCATTTTTTCAGTTCCTCTGTACATAGTATATCAACTATCATTAGGATGGCTTTTTGAAATACAACATGAAAACTGTGATAGATTTTCAATTTTCATAGACAGATAACCAACAAATTTATGGTTGCAGATGTAATTCCCATAAAAAGCTACTACACATCATTGATTTACATATTCTACCTGAAGATAGCCAAAAAAATATTAGAGATAAAATAAGATACCATAGAGTCTTCTGTGAGAAACTGCCGCAGCTGTTTCTCTTATTTACTATATATACTTTGAAAAATGTTAGTGTCCCATAGATGGTGATGTCTATATGAGCATATACAAAGCATAAACAGGGCCAAATTTGACTGATAGGCGCGAGTTGAGTACCATAGAACTGGTGTAAGGCACATATGTTAGAAAGAGATAGAAGCCGGTTGGATAGCAAAGCGCTCATCTCCACGCTGCCTAGCAGTGGTGACAAAGAAGCTCATGCCTTCTGTTAGTTTATTCTTTATGCCCAAATATTGGTTTCATTTTGAGCATATACATTTTTGAATTGTTAATTGTGTCGAATATGTTCAGGAACGATTCCGATTCCTGCTGTAATCATTAGGCGCCAAGTCAGAAGATCTTGCTGGTCATTATATGTTGCAGTGTGTAGAGATCATGCGTCTGGGAAAAATTGTTTCCAAAAATTCCCGAACGTGCCACGCGTTGTGAGCAGGACAGCCTTGGTGTCAAATAGAAAAATCAAGGTTGATGTCCAGGCTTCATAAAGTCGGGATAATTTCATGTTGAAGCAGTTTCAAGTAACTCGAGGAATTTAAGGTACCATTAATGAAGAAAGGTCCAACAATGTGGTCTCCTAAAATACCTCCACAAACATAAACTTTTTGGGGATACTGCGACCTTGATGGTGAACTTGAATGTTTGTTTTCCTTTGACCAATACCTAAGATTTTTGGGATTATGATGTCCATGGAGAGAAAAGCTGGATTCGTCCTAAAACCATATGTTTCGGAGAAATGGGTCATAGTTGTCAATGATTTCTTTCATGACATCACAGAACTTGCATTCTCCTGGTATGATCAGCGGGAAAAATCTCCTGCATGTTTTGATACTTGAATGGGTTACAGCCATGCATCTTCAAAATACGCCTGACTGTACTGACCGGGACACAGACTACTTATGATAGGGTACTACTCGAACAAGGTGGGGGTTCCTCTTTTTGAAGCGTCCCTTCGACATAACCACAAACAGCCTTGTCCCTGGCAACCTTGTCATCTGGAACATTTTCTTCTCCATCATTCTCCCGTTGACATGATTCGTCAGCAAGAGTTGATGGAGCCACGATTGCTGATGTTTCGTAAAATGCTCCTAACCATGGTCGGACTAAGGCAAGGTTGGTCAGGGTATGTATAAAGACAAACTGCGCAACGACTGCAGCTGCACTTGTGGCCTTGCTGCACCATAATATCAGATTCACCTTTTGTTCGCCTGTGTGTGAATCGAGAAATATGTAGAACGTTGAGGGATACTCGCCAAATGTAGAAAAGCCTATGCCGCCGTCGAGAGTCATTGATCTCAGAGGTCATTTTGAAGATCAACTTTGTCAATTCAAATAGCAACCACTATTGTTGACAGCAGATTCATGCCGAGCTCGCGATTTTACTTCAGAATGCATTGCCATGAGGTTAAGCGGTCATAAGTGGGTCAATTAACATGACCTTCTGTAACGTCTTAAAAGTAAACTAACATCTAGAAACCGTGGCAACCAAGTATTTTTTGGAACGAAGGTTTTAAGAAAAAAATTAGGATATCTAAAAAGCAACTTGTCGATCACCTCAAAGAGGACCTAGATAATGACCTCGAAGGTTATTGGAGGCAGATCCCAACCACAATTTTTGATTTGTGTTGGGCTCGAGATTTCACATCAGAATTCATCTGCATACATGAGGTAAATTGAAATTTGCCTTAGAAGCAGTTTCAAAGGCGTGGGATGATGGTGACACGCAGTATGGTTACTAAATGTGAACTTCTTGAATCCGTGCCATGGTCCGAACCCACGGTGAACAAATTACTCAAGTCATATTCCATATTTCATACTAGTTCTTATACAACAGAATTTCAAATAAAAAGGCAACTCGTTGATACATCACACACCGTTTGTTTCATTACAAATTATAACGAAAATATGAAATACAGAATTTGTTAAGTCATTAACGAAAGTGGTTGGCACACCGGTGTTCAACTACTTGTTGGAAAAAAAAGAAACGCTAATAGGCACTGGACTATCATTGAGGTGGAAACCTTGTCTTGGAATGTACAAGACGTGGTGCGAACCAGTGATGCAATTCTTGCTTCTAAGATTCTGAATATTTGTCTGTTTTACACCTGAACTTGAAGCCTCATCACCTGAAATTTCAACTTAATATTCAATCAAATACAGGCTAGCTTTGGTTTCGTTATTGCTTGTCCGAGCATGCGGTAATTAGTACCTGTTGTAGACACAAAGGGAAAGCGAAATGAGAGATGTGCGCACATAATTGTAGGCAACAAAAATCTACGTCCCTCATGTGCCAGACGGCCTAACTGTACGCTTATGTATGACTGGAATGGTTCATAAAACTGCATAGACTACATAAACTTATTTTTTTTCGGTAAAACATCTGGAACTATCTGAATTATTTCAAAAAATCGTGTAAATGCACGTTTTCGGTCAATAAGGTCTCATTCCGGTAGAAATACCGAAAAATCGGTAGGTTCGAAAACATTGCCAAAATCGCTCATCTATGATCTATGGAGGTGGAAACCTTGGAATGTACGAGATGCGGTGTTGCCAAACGAACCAATGATGCAGAATTTGTGGCAATCCAGACCTTTCCGTTCGACCTAAAATGGATCGCCGTAAGGACCGATCGGAAATCAATCCTAAGCAGTTTCGGCACAATTCAAAAATGAGAACGCTCAAAATAACGCATATTATCGACATGCATCTTAATTAAAGGGACTGGTGTAACATATTGGCAACGCGGCAGATTGCACGATCCTCTGCGTTACCGTCGCTAGGCAACATGGCGATGAGCTTCGCTATCCAATCGGCTTATATCTCTTTATCTAACATTTGTGCCTCCCGCTTCTCTCTCGTACACATTGAACTGGCGCCCATCAGCAAAATATGATCCTCACCACATAGGTGGCTCCAGCACCATCTATGGAGTATATATAGCATTAGGTTGGCCATCTTCAAATAAAATATCTTAATCAATGCCTGATGTAGCTTTATCTTATAGCTGCTTTACATGCTCCAATGAATTCATCAATTTTATGTGACCTACAAGAAATTGGAGCGTTTAAACATATATTGTCAATTTCTTCATGACAATAAATTGCCAAATTAGAGCTTTATCTAAATTAGAGTCAATTTATCGAAGTAGTCTAGAAATATTTGGTTTTTTAACTTCTCATCATTTGACGCGTTTGCGATTGAGGTTACCATCGTTAAAAGGGTGATCGATCTGTTGGTTAATTTTTGAACTAGGGCTTATCTCACGGTTGGCAAAACTTACATCAGTTTTGTTTTGACAGAAATGTAGCAGAGTCTGCCGTGAACGAATATGAATCAATATACGCTTGAAAAACGTTAGGAAGCGCTAAAAATTGGACGCTTGGACGAGGACCCCCCATTTTTACCGAATTTCGGATGCGGCACATTTTCATCTTGGTGGCTACGTCAATAAGCAAAATTGCCATATTTGGTACTAGAATAGCCAAATGAAATTACCTTAAAGCCAATGCATCCGCAACGCGTGACTGGTGTGGTTTGTGGTCTGTGGCCCTTTTTTTTCGAAGATGACGAAGGACGCGCTGTCACGGTCATTGGTGTACCCTTTCCGGAAACCGATAAAAAGACTTAGATGGCGTCTGGTTCCAGCAAGACGATACGACTTGCCACACAAGCCGTTATACAATCGCTCTTCAAGAACTGTTCGAGAATCGGTAATCAGCCGTTTTGGTGATGTGACTTGATTGAGCACTTGAAGACCAATAGTCATGCAGCCATTGGTGATATAATGACACAGACTTTGTAAAATGTACTGAAAAGTTGAGTCGGCATAATCAGCTACGTCAAGCTCAGCCGTGGCGCGCGTATGAGGCTGTGTTTCATCCTTAACCGGAAGGATAGTACTCTCAAATAAAAAAAAACCCGTTTGGAGAAAGAACTCTGCATTTTCATTTTAACTATCGATTAAAAAATCAAATAACAGATGGATCACCATTTATCAGTACGGTTTCATATTTCAAGCAACATTTTTTCTAGGTTTTTTAGTCGTAACGTTGGCAATAATGAATCGGGTGTAAATCTAGTAAAAAATTGTTTGTAGTGCTTTGTTTTTTGTATGCAAATGAACTTTTCTAAATAAGAGTTCTTAGCAAGTACAAAATGAATCTGTCGCGTACAAAAAACCAAAACAAAATATCGCTCTGTCTACATTCTGAAGCACTATCTTTTGCAGCATTTGAACCACCATCAGAAACTACCTGGCATTGACGGTCAGAATTATGTGGGGAATTTTGAAATATTACTAGATAATCAGCAGTCATTTTACCGTAATGGATACTCGTGAAAAAGACTATATTTTTTCCTGATGTTGGTATCATAGGAAGTTACTATATGTTTGTATACTTGACATAATTTGATCATGTAATTTCGAGACCTGTTGAATAAATTCATCAATTTTTCCGACAATTTTTACATGAATCTATTTGACTGTGTAAAGCAGCTATTGGATAGTTTTACCATAACATATGAGAAACTTTTTTCATTGTTCCTACATTTTACATAGCATATCTTCAATGACCCCTTTTAAATTCTTTCAGCAAACATTGATGGGGGTATACGACCTGCTCAGACAGCAATTGAAGATGTATTCATACGAAAATTTGTGACAGGTACCTGGCATAACCTGTTTGTTAGTGAAGTTATTATAAAACGACAGCACAATATTATTAGGATAGCAGGAATAATCCGTAGGGGAATCGGTGCTAGAAAAATGTACTTTTTGATAGGATATACAGAAGAACTATTGAGTTTTTGGTTACAGTGTCCTATAAAGTTGGAATTGCAGACAGTTGCTGACAAGAGGGATGTTGTGTTCAAGTATATATAAATGTTATTAATATTTAGAAATAAAATATTTGTTTTATTGTTGAAGTTTCTTCTAACAAACCTCAGAAAACAAAAACAATTGTTTTTTTCACGTTATTTACATGCAAAGTGATGTCCAATTATAACATCACACTTCTCAGACGTAGTTATCATGCTAAACTTACAGTTGACAGCTGTATGATCTGTAATTGCTGAGTAAGTACGGAAAAATAAAACATGAAATATCAATATTATATGTTAATCCAGCATAATAATCTGGTTTCACTTAGCAGCCAGAAAACGAGATTTGTCAACTTGAAAACCACAGGATTAGTTTCAGATGTTACACTAATCAATATTTTTGCTACTTAAAGTTTCACATCAAAACAGTGACATTATTCTTAAGGTAGTGAAATACTTTTTTCTTTTGGTAAGGACAGGTGTCTGTTACAGACGTGACATTGTCTGACAATTGACAGCAATGTCAATTTTGCTCCCACTCTAGGACGATTTGTATAGCTGAAGGTCGAACTGTTAAAAGTACTTAAGAAAAAGATAGATTTGATGGAAATGTATCCCATTTGTCACGTTTTTAAGTCTATGGACGTGAACAGCTGACCAGCAATTGATCTTTATGCATTTATAACCTTAGAGATGACCTCCACTCGTAACTAGCGGCACTTACTTCTAGCTTTCCATATTACCCCCCATTTCCCTCATTGGCTAATTACTCACACAATCAAATACGGATGATACTGACAGTTTCACGGGGAGGTCTCGCCTTTTCAGATTCCCACTATTCTTAATTTGAGTTTTGCTCAATATACAGCGTGGCCGATATGTATCTGACTGGTTTGTATTTTGAATATTTGTGAAATGAAGGAATACGTCCATTTTTTTCATTTTAATCTTTTATTGAAACTTAGAAATTATGTATGAAAAATAATACCAGACAAATGACCTGAGCCCTCTTGATCATCACTTCTTGATAAGTTTCGGGAGGAATATTTTCAATCGATTCCGTAGTATTGTTCTTCAGCTGCTATAGACAGTATTTGGTTTGTTGGCATAAACCCTATTTTTAAAAAATCCTCCATAAAAAGTCAGGAGCCGTTAAACCCGATGACTTTGGTTTCCAGTTGACATCACCAAATCGAAAAATTAAACGTCCAGGAAATATTGTTCGCAAAAGATTCATTGTTTGACGAGCCAGAAAGTTTTGCATAACTGAATTTTGCATGGCCCCAAATGCAAGTCTCTTTTTAAAATAGTGCATAATGACGAGCGACGAATACCCTGTTCTTGAGAACAATCTCTGGTAGACGTATGACGGCACTCTACTATACTACTCCGTAGTACGAACAGTTCTAACACTGTCCGACCTTGCAAGCCTTTAATTTCACCTGTTGGTTCAAATTCCCGCACCAACTGATAAATGGTGTTGACACTGCGCACATGATTTCGACCGAAATATTGTCGTAGCTTCCGAATCGTTGCAACAATCGACTCATTATTTAAGTAAAACGTTTTAACAATACGGACGCGTTGTAAAATCGTGTAGCGCTCCAGGATCAATTGGACGCACGTGCTTTAAACAACTACTACGACGCCACCTACTGGAATGCGTTTATCAAAAATGGCACGCAATTTAAATCAGTCAGTTATATATTGGCCACCATGTACCACCGGAAAACAGGGCCAACGTGTAACATTCATGAAAAGCTGGATGACAAGAATTTAATTCGGTTATCGAAGGTGTAATCTCGTTTAAAATGTTTTAAAAGCAAAGTCGTAGGTTTATCATTCACACTCACTTTACTGCACATAAATGCAAGAGGTGTGATAGAAAGTACCCAGCGCCGTATGCTCCGCTGTTCGAATTTCGTCCGCCGGCGCGCATGGCGTCACGCGGAAAGTGATTATCATTTGGGTTGATATGGATAACGTGCATATTTTCACCTACAGGCCAAACGGTTGAACGGATTTTCACATATGAGGTATCGTTGGATTCGTCTTAGCGGTGCGAGTGACACTGGCTACATTAAAATTTTATACAAAACAAAATGGTGGATTTTAATAAAATATTTCAACCCTGTAATTCCTATTTCACAGGCTATAGCTTAAACGGCTTCTAGCTCCACAATAGAGCGTATCGTCTCTTCACTGTAAAAACATGATAACTTCATTTTTCTACATTACCTATATTTTAGTATGTTCATGTCATAATACTGTACTACATCTATCTTTATTCCACAGAACATCCTAAGTACATGTAAGTGTGAAAATGTACGCAACTCGAAAAGTAGAAAAGTGGAGTTATCTTCTTTTTGCAGTAAGGTGGTGGTATACCAATAAATGGAAATGACTTTGTCTAAGCAACAATTTTTTCCATTTCCTTTTACGATTTTGCTGGTCTTTCAAGCTTTTATTCAGTTCTTTGATCTGGAAGAACATCCTTGACCTGAAATTCAGTTTTTTAGCTTTTTCAGGGCAGTCAATGTTGCTGCTCTTTACCAGAAGTTCACCTATAAAATTTTGCTTTTTTGTCACTATTCCGTCCCCATTGAATTTAGTGAATACCTTGTTCAGCTTCTCAATTTGAATCATGAAAGTTGCGGATGGCTTTGATAATCCACCCTCACTAAGATGGTCTATCCATGAATAAGTTTCATTTGAGGAACTTTTCATCCTCTCATCCTGCAATTTATTGCAACCAAAGCCGGCCAAATTTTCCAGTCCGTCATACTCGAGCTCATCTATTTCTTCCACTAAAACTTGCTCGGTATAGTCAGCTGATACTTCAGGTATATTCAGTTTATTCTGGTTAATGATGCGGTTAGTGGAATGTCTGGCGTATCATCTGACTACGCTACAATAGGTACTGAGTATGCGCCTTCGTTTCGCCCCAACATATATGACCTTATTCTATACTTAAACTCTAGAGGACTTGTATGGTCATGAAGAACATCTTTTGCCCTAATTACTCCGAAAAAGTTTTCTATCACATCTTGATTAAGACGTCTTGTTAACAGATATTGGACGCTGAAGCGTCGTTTCAGATCCTCTAGACTTCTAGAGCATTTTCTAGCAAACCCTAGCGCTTTTTTTTGACTTTGTCTTATCTTTTTGTGAGATGTAGCCATTTTTAGCTAAAGTTTGGGCCTTGAGGAAAACTCTGTCTTTGCAAAGATTCCGTTTAGATTGATTGTCGGAATTACATCCCACAACAGCACACCGCATTTTTATCAATTTATCAACCACAGAGGGTATATAAGGTATTTATAACTAATACAACAAGTCTCACAACAAAAAAAACACCAACAAATCGCACTATATAGTATTAACCACGATACACGTGAATTGCAGTAACGTTACGACATTCCTGTCGCTGGTAACCACGAGTCGATAACTCTCCGGGTGACGTCACGAAGCTCCGCCCACATGCGCAATATCCTATCTTCAGTGTATGTGTATCGTGGAAAGTACCATATGCATTAAACCCCATGTAAACCTTTATGATATAGGAAAAAATGTAACCTTTCAACAGAAAACATTTAATTAAATAGCTGTTACATAATAATTACAGGTTGAACAAAAAATGATTCACTACAAGCAATTTCATTATTATAGCTTCTAAAGAACTTGAAAACGTATTCACCTTGACAACACACTTTATTCAAGCTATCTGGGCTGACAGAAAACAAAAACCAAAGCAGAGAAAAAACAGGTTATGAAAGGTTTCATATGCATAAATTGTTTTGAAAAAAGCATATATGATTGTAACAGTACTCCCTTATTAAGAATGCTACTACGGAGATTTCATATGTTTACTTCAAACTAAACTTAATGGTTCTCTTGTCTAAGAAATAGTCAGTTTCTATACATACAGGTTTAAAAGTCAATTTACCAGCAAAACTTGTCAATGAAAAATTGGCAGACCAACAGTTCATAATAGTGTCAGAACATTTTCAATTTAGATTAACAAAATGGTTTAAAACATAATGAATCCAGAATTTAAGAAGCAAAATATAATATAGGTTATTTTGAAATGCAAAAACAGATCAACTATCAGAATATCCATACTAAGAAATAACTACTGACATGGTGTATAGCCTAGTAGTAGAAGAAAATGGTCAGAGCATTGTAAAACTAGTTAGGGTATAATATTTATAGTTTCACTATTGTAACCCTGATAATTATTTGCATTCGATTTCCAGAGGATACTTCCCAATTTGTCAATTTTTGACTCTACTTTGTTTTATTTCAACATTGGTGATATCCCTGCACTTAAGATGCCCCTCAAATCTCTCCATCAAGATCACGTTTTCCTTATCGAAGTCATCTCAGATTTGCCTTTTCCTTGTCAAAAAGGTTTCTTTGGTCCAAGTCAACATTGGTTTGCTTTACTTATTTTGATTCTGCTGGTGCTCTAACAGCTGAGCCAATGACTTTGGTTCATGGTCTCTGAATAATGAGTGATGATTCAAGTGGCTTGTTTTGTCTTCTGGATGTTTGTTGCCTATCAGCTGACCGCCTAAATTAGGAGTCCAACTGTTGGTGTTAAACAAAGAATAGCCTGGCATATTGATTGGGTTCTGCACGTAGTTTTTCTCAGCAGTAGAAAGCTAAAAGATAAAGAAATATGTAAAATAGATTTGCATTGGGTTTCGAATTTAGGAAAATATACAAAAAATGTGCTAGAAATATGCCAACACAGGAAATAGTCACAATACTTCAAATTAACAAAGATAAACAATCTGTCACATGAAATGAAAGGTGTACGTGAGGATCATAAAAAGCTCCTGTTTCATATTTGACTCAAAATTAGGGTTATAAATATTCAAACAATGTGGATAACACATATAACTGGAACCAGCACCTGGACGAACAAGAGAAGATATAGAGATTGTTTTGGAATTAATTGACTTCCACGTAACGTGTGAGATATTTCAAAAAATAATTTTGATCATTGTTAGTTACTTCATTGCGTTATTTAATTAAGCCGCTTGATGTCACTCATTTGCTGAAGCTTCTGCTAAAACAACATAGTAGCTTCAAAACAAATAGTTTGAAGTCAGAGGAATGTTGTTGGACAGAGACTTCTGATCGTGTATATAGAATATCGTCTTGGGGCACAGGGTCAGGCAAAAAATTAAACCGTGCAAATCTAACAAGGCGACACGCGCTTATGTTTTGTACAAAGCCACGCTTTTCTGAGAATATATATTATTTTAGTATTGCAAACAGTCGTAGATATCAAGCATAATGTTTCAGAGGTTACTAAATTATAAGGGCAAGATGCAGGACCGAACTACAGCCTTCTCATATGCTGTTGATGTATACTGAGCGTTTAACCGGCCAAGGATTTTTTGGTAACAAGACCTTTTACCTTCACGTGCACGTCGCTAGATCCGTCAAGGTTTTTGAGCTACCAAAACGAACTTACAGTATACGCAATGGTGTTGTCATTATTACCAGTCAGTTTTCCCGTATTCCGATTTTAAACAAACCAGGTATTTTGAGTATAAAAAATGGTGCCTCATTTAACTTTGGGAACAGTTTCGCCGAGCTGAGAGAGTATCGTTGATGAATAACTTCACAACCAGATAGAGTTTAGAAAATGTATTGCTTTAAGCTTAAGCAATAAAGGACTAACTATTTTTCTTCTACAGAGTTCGAATCTTTTACAGTTTTATGTTCATAATCACATTGAAACGTAATTCATAGGTATAACATAAATGGGATTTGTGTCATTTCAATTATTGCAGTTTTCCGAAAGCTCTACTGGTGAGATAAAGTTGGATATAACTTGTGAATATGGAAACTTTTTACACCGAAGCACCCTCGACACCACACCACTGCCTGATGACAAAGGAGTGGTCGTATCGGCCAGTTAGGATGGGAGGCCGATGTCAGGAGGCTCTGTCTGGCAGGCGCTTCGCGCTGCGGCATCATGAACGAGGGTTCTGAGGAGCAAAGCCCATTAGTGTAGTGATAGAAGACAGCTAGATCGCCGAAGGTCCGCCGGTGCGAGAGGGTCCCGAGTTTGTCTGTTAGAGAAAAGTCATCTATCAGTCCGACAGCCCTTCTCTGGACAGCATCGAGCATAAATTAGTTTAGTCGGAGCGGCAGCACCCCAAACGTGTGAGCAATACTCGGAGCTAGGTCTTATCTGGGCCTTGTATTTTTCACCACATGACCACCTCACTCTATACAAGGCCCAGATAAGACCTAGCTTCGAGTATTGCTCACATGTTTGGGTTGATGCCGCCCCGACTACATGCTCGATGCTGTCCAGAGGAGGGCTGCCCGACTGGTCGATGACTCTTCTCTAACAGACAGTCTCGGGATCCTTTCGCACCAGCGGGCCGTCGGTGATCTAGCTCCATTTTACCGCTACACCAACGGGCTTTGCTCCTCAGAGCTCTCCTCCATGATGCCGCCGCGTGATGTGCCTGCCAGACAGACCCACCTGACTTCGGCCTCCCATCCTAACCGAGTCGAACTTCGTACATCCAGAATTGGTCGATACGACCGCTTGGTCTCGAGGGTGTCGAGATTGTGGAACAATCGACAAGATGAAGCTTTTCCCAGTTCTACTAACCTTGGCAGTTTAAAAATCGGATTAACAAAGTTTCTTTGAGATCCCCCTAGCAGCCGCGGACATTTAGGCTTCTGCCTGCGCGACTGCTTTGGTATAAAAAAAATCCTAAAACAATTACTACTACTAATAATGGCAAAAATCCAATAATTTTCAGTTAGGTCAATGAGTATGATAAGTTTTATTTTTAACTAAACTGATCGTAATATAAGGTTAGCAACATGTCAAATCCTAATAATTGCGTGAATGTCATTTTCAGAACATACGTTGATATGATTTTTTCAGCAAAATATCGCAAACTGTACTCAAAGTCTTCAGGAATGATCGCCAATGTAAAGCGGTGCAGCGCTTTTATGTTGCTTAGCAGTCGCCGTGGATTGGCAATGACAGTTCGCAACATTAATAAACGTAGAATTAAATCTGACAGCCAAGTCAAAACTGTTGTCAAAATGACAAAGTTATCTCGTGCATAAAAGCGCTTCACCGGGACCGCTTTACGTCGGCTGAACGCTCCCATTAAAAAAGTATATTACATCCTATATATTGCAATAACTTAAGCCAGACCTATGATGTGATGACCCGCGTACCGACTACATACTTCATTCGTTTCCGCCATATTCGTCAACAGGTTACTGAATCAAAGTAGTTTAAAATACACAGAAAATCGTTTTTATGAGGCGTTTTCGAAACAGCTCTATGTATTTTACACTATTTTGACATATTAGATGGGATATCAATACTGGAACTGACGCGACGCCTTAAATGTCTCGACTTTTATATCCGAAGCCTAAGACAAGAACTAACGGGTGATTTTTTAAGAGGTATAGGATCTGATTTTCAAAAAAAAACACAAAAAATTTGAAAAAACGATTAAATCTTTATTTAAGTCGATAGAATGGTCGATATAATTTGATGTTTAAAGATTATTTCATGTAAATGTTGGCCGCGGCTCCGCTTTAGATGGCCCATGCGCAAGGTCCAATTTTGGCACACTCTCTCCAACATATCGGCCGGTATCTCACGAATAAATGCTTCAATATTGGCTTCCAGTGCGTCAATCGTTGCTGGTATATCCCTGTAGACATTAGCCTTAACATGGCCCCACAAGAAATAGTCCAACGGCGTTAAATCACACGATCTAGGCGGCCAATTGACGGGCCCCAAACGTGAGATAAACTGTTCACCGAACTCGCCTCTCAATAGGGCCATTGTTTCGTGTGAGGTGTGGCATGTGGCACCGTCTTGTTGAAACCACATGTCAGCCAAGTCCAGCTCTTCCATTTTGGGCAAAAAAAGTTTGTTATCATCGCACGGTAGCGCTCGCCATTCACAGTTACGTTTCGGCCATTGTCGTCTTTGAAGAAGTACGACCCGATGATGCCACCGGCCCATAATCCACACCAAACAGTGACTTTTGCATTGGTAGCTCTTGCAATGCTTCTGGCTGGTCTTCACTCCAGATGCGGCAACGTTGTGGGAGGTCGTGTGGCTTCGATTCTTGCACCAGCTGTATCTTATAAGGTTTTACACCCAATTTTCCACGTAGTGGAGTAACAGAGGCCCAATTGCTGCGAACGGCGGCGAATCGACATTTCACGATGATCACTAACACTGGCGGATACAGCCGCAATATTTTCTTCAGTCCTCACTCTACGTCTGCGTGGTGGTGGTTTAATGTCCAATAATGTAAATTGCGTTCGAAATTTAGTCACAAGCTTCCGAATAGCTCCCTCAGTAGGCCGACCAAATTGCCCATAAATTGGAAGCAGTGCTCGATGCACTCTCTTAACCGAGCATGAATTTTGATAGTAAAATTCAATAATTTGCAAGCGTTGTTCGTTCGTAAGTCGATTCATGGTTAAATTATAGACCAAACTGAACAAGTTTGACGATGACACAAGACACGATTCACGCGTCATCTTTCAAAAATAGCAAAAAATCACCCATTACTACTAATCAACCTTACATTATTCATTCGATCCATAGAATCTTCAGGTTGTGATGGCAAAGGTAAATTTCCTTCCTTCAACATGGCTTGACGAACAGAAATGTTTTGATTGCTAGTGCCTTCTGGGCCCATGAAGGTTCTTAGATGTGGATTCTGGTAATTATTCCAAGGCATGCTAAATACATCCCCACTACCCTGTAACCAAAATAGAGTCAAATCAAATAAAATTTAATACAAAATAGAATCACGAGTAGCTGAACGCTTTTTTTGTTCACGTGTACAATGAGTCCAGAGTATTTTTTTAATCATCATAGTATACTTTCTATGAATGAACGTAGAAGGAGAAATAATAGGTATCTTTATAATGCCAACTTCTTGCATGTCGCTGTACATGGTGCATGTGCAACAATAAATAAAAATATCAATTACAGTGAAAGCTCTCTTAACGGGCAGCTCTAATAAGCGACCATCTTCCTTAACACATTGACTGCGAACTGGGATGAGGATACCCACCTCAGAAACTGAAATACTTTTTTTGGAAATAATACACAGTTTGGATGACAGAAAAATGAAAAACCCATGTATTTATAAAAAAACTCAAAAATAACGCCGTGAGAGCTAGGACGTCTTAAGACGTCCTCAGCTTCCTGCTAAAATTTTTTCGCTAGGAGCGGAGGGCGTCTAAAGACGCACATTTTATAAAAGAAAATCTTAAAAACATAATCATAACTACTTATTTCTATGAAATTCCGCGAAACAAGGCTAGAAACACAAGGCCGGCTTTCCAGGACAAGATGGGCAATGAAAAACGGTTTCCTTGCGAATCTTTTTTTTACAGTAGTTAGTGCACTTTCGATGGGCATGTTTCTTCTTCCCTCCTGCTTGAGGATTTTTTTCTGGTTTATGTTCCGTTGAGTGTCGTTTTTCAGTGGGATTTGGTCCTTGTTTTTCAGGAAGTAGATACTCAAGTACACGAAGTCGGTATTAGTATAAGGATGCTCTTGGCTGTTCGTACTTTTTGAACAAAAAATAAGAATTTACTAAAAGCATATTGAAAACGTAAATGCCAATTTTTTTGTACCACCTCAAAGTTTTTCTGTCACATGGGTAGTACGAAAGCATTTGATGTACTTATTATATTCACAAATAGCTTCCGGCTTTTCTTTTTCCTCTTGCCTTCTGTTGTAATACTTTTTCAAGTTATTTCCAAATTCTGTTGATATATAGAATACATCCCTTTTGTCCTTCCATTTACCGATCATAATTCCATTACAGTAGCGCGCAATCGTTTCTCCTTTTTTTTAATTTAGTATTTTTTACATCAACGGGGTTGTCATTTCGGTCAACTCTAAGGGTACCAGTGCAATAGGTCTTTCTAGACAATAATGTGTACGCCAGGTTATAGCTGTTGTAAAAATTGTCTAAATATACTGAATGCCCTACATCCAGTTTTTCTTCCATCAAGTGAAGTGCTACATTTGCAGCATGCCCTTTGCCGCCAAAATCGTCGAGAGTGCCAGTGTAGACAGAAAATTTTACAACCGTACCATCTGGCTCCGTGAGCAAGTATAATTTTACGCCGTATTTGTGGCGTTTATTTTTAATATACTGTCTAAAAACTAAACCGCCACGCCACAGCACCATCGATTCGTCCAGGGACAAGTTTTTTCCTGGATAATAAACTTTTTCCATTTTTGAGTTAAAATATTCTATAATCTTGTATAACCTATCCGCCGGAATTGGATCTCGAGGTTTTGGATTTTTTGTGAAGTGCAAACATCTTAAAATCAACACAAAACTGTCTCTGCCCATATAGGTAGAAAACACAGGAATATTGAATAGCCTGTGCTTTCTCCAGTAATCCTGTAGTCTATTTAGTCTTATGGTGCCTATATGAAATACAAGGCCAATAAATATTTTCAATTCCTCTCTTGTCAATTTCGTCCAGTGAGTTATTCGCGATGTTCGTTTAGTATTTTCCGAAAGGAAAATTTCTTCCGCATAGTTTTCAGTTTCTCGTACTATCGAATCTAGGAAATCATCATCAAAGAGTAAATTGAAATAATCCTTTGGCTAATTTCCCAAAAAAAAAAAATATAAACAAGTATAATAAATATGAAATATTTAAATTAGTATTTAAATTTTACCATTAGGCTGAACTAGTAGTTCCCTCTGTTTCGTAAATGTTAATTGTTTGAAATCTGCATTTACTGCATCCCAAATGACCGGATCTGCAGGAACTTGAGTAGGTGTTGGAGATATTGCAGTCGTTCCTGATGTCATTGGTGAATTTACGGGAATATTAATGTCCAAATTATCGGAAACACTATCATCAAGTGTTGAGAAATCTAATTCTGCCTCATCACTATCACTAGAATCGTCAAAGCCGTCATCGGACTCCTCATAGTCCGGATCACCAATATCGTCGTCCGAATCAAGCAAATATCGGTTTAATTCTTCTTGCGTCAAAGGAGCCTTTTGTCGAATCGTTTTTCTGCCTAATTTAAGCTTTTTCAGCCCTGAGGGTCCTGCTTCACTATCAGACATCACGAACCAAAACGGCACGAATTTTTCACGACTTTAACATGTGTATGAGATGCGGAGAACAGCACAACCTCACTGCTCAAAGGCTGACGATATACTAAAACGTTATAAGAGAGCCGGCAGAGAGCGTCTTTTGACGCTGTTCGCACTGAACGTGTTAAGCGGCAAAATTTTTTGGAACCGATTTTAGTCCTATATTTTAACATAGAAAGGACACTCCAATAAGCGGGCACTCTAATAAACGGACGCGAGCAGCAATTTTTGCACATTGGACGAAATAATATCTTCTATAAGCAATCGCGAAGCTCTAATAACCGAGCAAATGAAGTTTAACCATTACTTTAATATGACCATTCGGTGGTTCCCCGCGAGGTTTTTGGGGATTCACAGTATTACACGATCACAAGTTGTTGTATTAGAAGATAGAATTTAGAGTTAGCAGTTTAGCAGTGTTAATCTTGTTGCTTGTGTTTTAGTGTGCACTTTTAATTTATAATAATATGCCGCCGAAAAAGCGAATGTTGACGCTAAAAGAAAAGATGGAAATTGTGAATGTTAGTGATAAGGAAAAATTATCAACTCGGGCTATAGCATTGCGATTTAATATAGGAAAGGCACAAGCGACGTTGATTGCAAACAATAAGGAGGATATATCCGACGTTTGTGGCAGTCTGGAGTAAAAGATCAACAAAAAAGAAGTTTTTGTAGGACTGAAGGCTTAAAGATCGATAAAGCATGTTTTGAATGGTTTATTAGTGCTAGAAATCTAAGAATACCCTTATCTGGGGGGCTTGTAAAAGAAAAAGCAAAAGAATCTTCCTTCATTGCCTTTGGGATACCAATGTGAAGACATTTACAATGACGACGAAAGCAGTCTATATTTTCGTGCGCTTCCGGATAAGATACTGGCTTTAAAGTCTGAAAAGTGTTCGGGGGGAAAATTATCGAAAGAAAGACTAACCGTATTATTCTGTGCAAGCATGACTGGACAAAAAGAAAAACTGTTAGTGATTGGCAAATCTGCACGCCCTCGACCATTGAACAATGTAAACATTAAGGATTTACCTGTTATGTGGAAGTCAAATAAAAATGCCTGGATGACATGCCAAATAATGGGTGAGTGGTTAGCCGAGTAGGATCGAAAAATGGGCATTAAAAAAAATGCTGCTATTTTTGATCGCCTCCAAAAAGCGGGCAAAAAAGCTGGAACCATAGCTGCCCGTTATGAGAGCTTTCACTGTATATAACTAAACCAAATGTAAATATCCGAATCAAAAAGAATATCCCGAGATTTTGTGAATCAGCCCAAAATTTGCCAGAAACTAGAAAAACCTCGGAAAATGAAGTTTTGGGAGATTATGAAATTTTTTGTTTTTCGCTTATAACTCAGACGCCACTGGGCTGATATCTAAAACACGCACGGCTTTTTCGTCATGGTGGTAATTTTGTGTCATAATTTTGTCAAAATTCGATAAGTGTTTCCTGAATTCTAAAGGGGGATAAATAATACCGGAAAACTGTAGACAACAGGCGGGCAGTCGAAAATGAGTTACATGGTTCCATGTTGCACATGTGATATAATGTAGCATAAAAAAAATATTTCGATTTTGAACTGCGATTATTATACTTCCAGCCAATGATACAGCTACTACTATCAAAACAAAAATTATTTCTTATACTTTAAAAAGGACTTATATGCGTTCAAGACCACCAGTTTACGGACTAAAAGTACCTAGATCATGACAGAAGGTTCCTTTAATTCGTAATTTTGCAGGTTGGTATAAATATATAAATAAATTCAAACTATTTCAACAATGTCATAGTTCAATCTAGAGTTAAAATCCGTTCTTTTAGGCTCACCTGTGAATTACTGAGCTGAGGCATAATGGTCTGCGGTGGAACTGCGGGTCTATTGTTCACAGGTGTCTGTTGATATGCTTGGAAACCCTGCGGTGGTCTGCAGTTTGGCGGCATCTGCTGCTGTCTAGTGTTGCCCCACCAATGCTGCACGTTCAACGATGTTTGAGGCTCTTCTTGCCTCCAAATGTTGAAAGGATAGTTATATGGCACATTCTGATAAGGCATTGGCATAGATAAGGTGTCATAAGCGCCTTTTGGAGGGTTGTTTTGTGGGAAGATCTAAAAAGACAAATATGATCTATAAAATAGTATGAGATTAATTTTTTTACAGGCTGGTCAGTTATGATTGAACCAACGAGCATTTTGTAAGCAATTATTTTGTGAAAAATATGCAAGTAAAATATATCTCGTTAATAAGATGCAGGCTATAAAAGTTTAATGTGGATAAGTTACACTACATTTATTTCCATTAATCAAATCCTTTTCGAAATATTCGCATTTCAACATTCTACCATGCAGCCAAAATGAGTGTTGTAATGGGTATTTGACACAACACCTCGGGCGTACTAGCGTGGTGAAACCATCCATAATAGCGTTCATATCTTACACACAGCATATTCCACTCTTAAGGAACTGTTGCTGAGTCAGTCATATGATTGTACAATATAATGTTGGAATGTAGATACCCAGAAAAAAGTTTTTTAATCAAAATAAGTTCCGACTTTATTTTTTAATTAAATATTATCAACAATATGTAACCCTTGCAGAAATAAACACCCAGGCACTATGTAATGTTAATTACATAATCTAACATAATTTAGAAATGTTTAGCCGCTGCTTTTCAAGGTTTGCTAGAAAAACTTTGTTTAACCACTGCTTCTATACAGTTGATGAATGATAAAACTATCTTCAAATATGACTATTTCAAGGGGGTAGGTACACTGGAAAATAACACGAACAGTTCTTGTATGAATAGGTTTTCAACAATTTGATGTCACAAGGGTTATACATGGGTCATTTGTCCTGGAGTCAACCGATTAGTCAAATGAAGAGGAAGAAGAATGATAAATTAGTAAAAGAACAACAAAGAAGACAATCAGGTAAAAACAGAAATAATATATCTGGTGATACTAACCTGTTGTGTAGGTTTACTATATGGTGGTAAGACTGGGGGTGGTATGTTAACATTCGGTCCCAGTATAGGATTTTCTGGTGCAGAATAAGTATTTTCTTTATTAAATGGTTTCAAGAAGTTGATGTCTGGTTCAGTGAGAGGCAATGAAAATGATGAAGATCGATGACCAAATGGCTGCGTGTGAATGGGAAGCGGTGGAGGGGGTTGATGCAGTTGCTCTTGGAGGGGAACGTGAATGTTGCGATCTTTTTCGGGTTCGTCTACGCTGAACTTCACCTGAAACAATAATATATTGATACGCAAAACCAATGTAAAATTAAAAAGTATTGTTTACGTGGAAAAATGGCGTCTTCCATCAAGACCTCGCCACCGTGGTCTGGAAAATCAGTGATGGGGGATAAAAGCTACTGTCCGAGAATATTAAAAGATTTTTTCCGGTTTTTACAAATAGATTCGCATTATTGCAAACAACCTTTTCCTACAACCGTCCGAAAAGTACGTTAATAGCAGTCGGCCACTCCAAATTGATGATGATGATGAGCGACCGAAGTTAGCCACTTACGATTCTAGAGCGACAATGTAGTATTAGCACAAATGTTCGCTAAATATTACGCTTATACCAACAAATTTAGACTAGGTAGAAAGAGTCAGTTAAGGATTTGTTTGTCTTCTAATACTCATAGTCTGTAGTGAGGTGTAAGTGACGTGTTTAAAAGATTTCTAGACACGGTACTTACATAATTAGCAAAGAGCGACACAAGCCTAATCAAGGTAGATGTTTCCACCAGTAAGTATTATTATTATTATTATGTCACTTTGGTAGGCACTGGTAGACAATAGTCAAAAGTATGCCGACAAACAATGAAAAGTAAATATATAGGCTTGGGTCCTTCTAATCTATTCGAATTCGTTGGCTCGTACTCCTTGATTAAAAGATGTATTGACTACGAAAGTATCAACTGCCTAATCTACTATATTTTTAAACTGTCTTCAGATACGAAATCCTACAGTAGTTTATCGATTCAAAGCGTTTTTGTGATTTCATAAGCTAAAACTCATTTTGTCGCAAGTAACTATAAAACTCTCCATTTTTTTATATAACGGGTGGGCCATCTATCGGTTTCGATTTGAACCACGTGTTAATTTGACGCTGACAATACTTATGTCAATCTGATTTGTCATAAAATTCAGTATATTATCTCCGCTGAACGAAATGAATCGATTTACGCTTGAGCAACGTTGGGTAATATTGGAAATTTATTTCCAAAACAAAGACAATTGGGCAGAAATTGCACGAAAATGCCGTTCAAAATTCGGTCGCAACGAAGCACCAACAGCGCCCGGTATACGCAAGTTTATTAATAAAGTGCGTGAAACTGGTTTCATTGTTGATGCTCCAACACGTCAGCGTGCTCGTACAGTGCGTACACCCGAAGGTATCGATGCTGTGGCTGCGAGTGTGCGTGAAAATCCATCAACGTCAACACGTCATCGTTCCCAAGAATTGAACATTTCCCGCACCAGTTTACGACGAATTTTGCGGAAAGATCTCGGTATGACGCCTTACAAAGTTCAATTGGTTCAAGAGTTGAAGCCGCGTGACCATCCACTTCGTTCTGCCTTCGCTACATGGGCCAACGAGCAACTAATCAATGATGTCGATTTTGCGAAAAAAATAATCTTTTCAGACGAAGCTCATTTTCATATTGGTGGCTACGTCAATAAGCAAAATTGCCGTATCTGGGGCTCGGAAAACCCACACGAGGTCTTAGAGAAGCCAATGCATCCCTTGCGAGTGACTGTTTGGTGTGGATTGTGGAGCGGAAGCATCATTGGCCCATATTTCTTTGAAGACGGGGACGGCGCAACCGTTTCTGTCAATGGAAACACCTATCGCACCATGATAACTGATTTTTTTGTTCCTGCTCTTGATGGTATTGATGTGGAGAATGTTTGGTTTCAGCAGGATGGTGCAACTTGTCACACATCGCATGCCACAATCAACTTATTGCGCGAAACCTTCGATGGCCGTTTAATCAGTCGAAATGGTGATGTCAATTGGCCGCCAAGAAGCTGCGATTTGACACCATTGGACTATTTCCTGTGGGGCGCTGTTAAAGACAAGTGTTATGTCGACCATCCAGAGACAATTGACCATTTGAAGGCCAACATTCGTGATGCCATTGACGAGATACGGCCCCAAACACTCGAAAAAGTGCTCGAAAATTGGTCCGATCGAATGGGCTACTGTGAGGCCAGCCGCGGCAGCCATTTGAATGAAGTAATATTTCATTTCTGAGCGGAACAATTGTACTTCAAAACAAAAAAATAAATTTGGCAATATCTCAAACCGTTTTTGTTTTATTTTATTTTTAAATCGAAACTTTTAAATGGCCCACCCATTATATTGAAACAGCCGCGTAGGCTGAAGCCTAAATGCCGGAACACCGCGGCTGCTATGATGATCCCAAAGAAATTTTGTTAATACGATTTTTGAACTGCCTAAGGTTAGTAGAACTGGGAAAAGCTTCCTCCCGTAGATTGTTCCACAATCTAGACACCCTCGGGACAAAGGAGCGGTCGTATCGGCCAGTTCTGGATGTACGAAGTTTGACACGGTTAGGATGGGATGCCGAAGTCAGGCGGGTCTGTCTGGCAGGCGCATCGCGCGGCGGCATCATGGAAGAGAGCTCTGAGGAGCAAAGCCCGTTGGTGTAGCGATAGAAAAGAGCTAGATCGCCGACGGCCCGCCGGTGCGAAAGAGTCCCGAGACTGTCTGTTAGAGAAGAGTCATTGATCAGTCGGACCGCCCTCCTCTGGACAGCGTCGAGCATGGACAATGTAGTCGGGGCGGCAGCACCCCAAATGTGTGAGCAATACTCGAGGCTAGGCCTTATCTGGGCCTTGTATAGAGTGAGAAGGTCATGCGGAGAAAAGTACTTCTTAGCCCTAAACAAATAGCCTAGCTTTTTCCCAGCAGCTGCAGCTATTGAAGAGATGTGTTCGTGCCAGATCAGGTCCTCGGTGATCTGGACTCCCACCAGCCGAAATGAATGGCTCTTTGGTAGAACTCGACCGTCCATCGAAACTGTATGAGCGCTAGGACGCTTTTTGTTCGTCAAGGTACAGTACTGTGTTTTGGAAGCATTGAACTGTACAAGATTGTTGCGTCCCCAAGCAGTGATAGCCTCCAGGTCTCTTGTCAGAGAAGAAGTCGTCGCTAGTCTTCTTTTTTCCAGCTCAGCGGCAGAGATCGGCTTGTCACTCTGAATTCCTGCATGTAGAGTGCTGTCATCAGCGAAGCTGTGGATTGGATTGATCGTGCAGGAAAGGAGGTCGTTGATATGTAAGAGAAACAGTGTTGGAGCCAAGACCGATCCCTGGGGAACACCCGCGTTGACGTTGTGGGATGAAGAGGAGAATCCGTCAATTACGACGGATATCTTGCGGCCAGAGATAAAGTCAGCCACCCATCTGCAAAGCTTTTCTGGGAGGCCGTAGGATGGAAGTTTGCTTAAGAGGGCAGCGTGCCACAGCTGATCGAACGCTTTCGTGATGTCAAGAGCAACGACATGAGCCTCACCATGAGACTGGATGAGTTTCCTCCACAGTTGCGTGACGTAAGCTAGGAGGTCCCCTGTGGATCGTTGGTGCCGGAAACCGTACTGCCTGTCGCTAATCAAGCTGTGACGTTCGAGGTAGTCCAGAAGCTCGCGATTTATGCACCTCTCCATCACTTTACTTATAACAGAAAGCAGAGCTATAGGCCTGTAGTTGTAAGGGTCGGTTTTAGATCCTTTTTTTGGGATGGGCTGTACATGAGCAAATTTCCAGTTTTCTGGGAAGGTACCGGATTCATAGGATATCTGGAAGAGACGCGAAAGAACTGGAGCAAGCTCCGCTGCACATCTCTTCAGTACAATGGCAGGAATCAAGTCCGGACCAGAAGCTTTGTTGTTGTCGAGCGACAAGAGCACTCGTCTTACGGTCTTATGCCTGAATGTTACTTCCCGCATAGTGTGGGGAACCCTTTGAATTGACGGCACTTGGGCGTTGGTGGGGACGTTGTGGAGTTGGCAGCAAAGATCTTGGCTAGCACTTCCGCCTTGGCCTTTGAGTCGAATACAATAGTTCCATCCTGACACGTAAGTGGTGGAAGGCTACTGTGTGAGAAGTTATTTTCAATCTGCTTGGCCAGCGTCAAGAAAGACCGACTGCCATTGCGCTGCGACATTACCCTGTGCCTAACTTTTATATCATGCTGGTTTTTGGCATTGCGAACCGCTTCGTTATATTTGTTTCTGGACTCGACGTCGGCTTGTCTGTTCTCTACAGTGGGGTTTTGTAAGTAGGTTCTGTGGGCCTTGATCTTCTGCTGGCGAGCAGTGTCACACGATTTGTTGAACCAGCCGTTGGACCCTGGTTTAGGAACTTTCACTGTGTGAGGGATGTATTCCTCCATTCCGACGTGGATAATTTCGGTTATTGAAGAACAGACAGTCGACGCATCTGCGCCAGTGAAACATACATCTCTCCAAGGAAAGCTAGAAAAGAAGTCTCTGAGCCCCTCCCAGTCGGCATGTCCGTAATGCCAAGTTTTGCGGCCTGTGCGAGTTTCTGCTGCCACAGCGGCTTCTGACCGAAACCTAACCTCCACAACACCGTGATCTGAATTACCCAGGGGGGACAGGACAGCAGTGCTGTATGGGGCAGGATGCGTGGTCAGAAAGAGATCTAGCAGGCTACTGGCGTGTGACGAGACGCGGGGGAAAAAAGTAGGGCTCGTCACCAGCTGGGTCAGCCCTTGAGCGAACGCTTCGACTGCACGACCTGCTGCATCGGTCTTATTTGAGCCCAACCAAAGCTCATTATGGGCATTGAAATCACCGAGAAGAACTACCTCTGAAGCGGGGTGATTGATGTTCAGGAAGTCGATCTAGACGGCGAGGTATTCGAGTAGGTCATCCCAGTTATGGTTTGAGGGAGAGCGATAAAGGCAGCAAATAAATTTGGGTGATGTTTTGGAGTTTAGGCGAAGCCACAGAATGTCCTTCCGGTCTGATTCCAAAGAAAGATCCCTGGAGCAGGAAAGACTGCTGCGGACAAAAGCCACAACTCCCCCATTCTTTCTCAGATTGGAGTGCACCTCGTAGTTTGGGAAGTTGAGATGGTTAATCGGTGCAGTCTCTGAGATTTTTGTCTCCGCCAAGGAAAGCACGGCGGGACGATTGGATTGCAGGTAGTGTTGAACAGCATCAATGTTGCTGTTGATCCCGCAGATGTTCGAAAAACAAATTTTATCTTCGATGTTGTTCCCTCGAGCCCACCCTCCACCCGGACATTCCATATTCGTATTATTCACAAAAATATGTTTTGGTCGTGAATTAATTGGCTAAAGCTTGAGAAGGATTTGAGAATTGAAGTATTCTCCAGCTAGACAAAATTGCATTTTTAATAACCGTAATAGTCTGGCGATATGAAATTCGTACAGAAAAAAAAACAAGTTATTCTGTAGGTGGTGCGATTCAAGACTATGATGGATGGTGAACTGTTCTAGGCAAAGAATTAAGTAGACTGTAAATTTAAATCCATTTAGCAAGAAGAAATACTTTATTTTTTTTATACTCCAGCTACCACGAAGATCTAAGGCCTAAACACCCATGGGGTATCGTGGGGCTATAAGGGGATACAGGGGAAAAGGAGGGGACGCCACACGCACACTAGCGAGGGAACACGTCTGCATGCAGCATGCACACATTCTAGCCTCGCCTCAGAGATCCGACGGGTGGTATCTTCGCGTACGACAGTCAGAGACCGTTTACCACCTATGGACAATCACAACATCCATAGCCAAGAGAAAATTGTCTCTCGAAGCGTCTACCACTGCGTCCGCCGCTGCTGCCTAATACAGCAAAATAATTTAGAAGAGCATCTTTAATCATGCGAAGTAAGGTGCCAAAGCTTATTCTTTCCTATCTGAAAATAGGTCAAATTGGTATCAAGTACTTAAATTCTTGATTGTAATTTTTTTAATAAAATTTTCATTTTTTGATATCTCTTAAACGGTCCAATTTATGAGAAAAAGTGGTGGGCATAAAACCATTGCTGGGACGATTTGCTACGAAATGACAAAAATACAATACATTTTTCGTCTAGGATATATCATTTCTCAGATAAACTGTCTTAAATGTAATCTTTGCTGGCAATAGCAAACTTCTTTAAATTTTGATTTCTTGGCTAATATCTTTGGAACTACAAGCTTTTCGGAAAAAAGAATAAGTGGTAACAGATTGTTAACATTCACTATTAAAAAATAATGAGCTTTATGTTCGTTATTTCACTCGTGTGTTGGATAAAAATTCGTTCATTGAAAGGACGTAATTTAATAGAACGCGACCATATATTTTATGTTTAACAATCAACATCAGGGAAAGACTCCCGTGACAAAAATAGGTCACATTCTAAAGATGCTAGACATTAGTAGGCCATGCTAAAATTTATTACCAAATGATTGCGCCGCAGCTCAGACGCGAATTTTTATATTTCAACCTTGGAGGGGCTTTTGCTTTTAACAAAGGGGAAATAGATTTAGAAGATCAGATATATTCACATTTATGACAATATAACTTTTAACGTGCTAATGACAGGTTTTAGGCCTCAGCTAGTTTTAAAACATTTAGCCGAATAATAATGAACGAAGATATCCAAAAAATATACCTGTTTATTTGTCTCTTCCATTTTCTTGAATATAGACTGCAAAGCAATATTCTGTTTTCCCTTTCTATTTTTCTCTATCTTATTATTAGATCCATTTGCACTATTCAAATCAGCCGCCGACACAACAGGAATTTCCTTTTCTTCTCTCGACTTTTCTAAAGAGCCTTGCGGCTTCAGGATACCAGACTTCTTTTCTGCACATATCAAATAAAAAGGTTTAAAATAAAGCTAATAAAAAATCATGCATTAAAGTACGTACCCGATTTTGGAACTTGTTCAGAGCCTCCAATATGAAGTGACTTCATTTCCTCTAAAAGGGTATCTGTTGGATCTGGTTGCACCAACCCCGGTTCAAAAGACACCTCTTTGTTATTTTGAGTTCTGTATAAATGTTTTGTCTTATTAAAGATGATGTTGATTTGTTAAATTTGGGAAGCCTGTTAGGGACAGTTTTCACCAAAAGCAACTGGCAATCGATACTCGATCGCGACCAGACACATGTATTCAAATATAAGCTTTTACACCAAAGAGACGGCAATGCAGTTAGTTGCTTAACAGTTGCTGTCACTGCCGTGGAAAAACGGATTACCGTTGTTCATTGGTCATTGTGACACTTCAGATAACGTTGCAATCGTATACTCAAAAAAAGTTAGTCCATCTGAACTAGCTACAAATATGTATAACAAAACAATTAAATGGATTAAGTCAGATACATAGACCTAACAATTACTGGGCTTGGAAGCGTATAAATATACTGCCTCCAAAGAAATTAGATATACCCTCCCTCACTCCCGATTTATCAATCCCTTCAAAAAAAAAAAATGAAAATGATCAGGAGGCTCTGAAACATCAAAAAACTAAATTTGAGAGGTTTTTACTTTTTTGTGTTTTTACTGCTAGCTCCGCCGTCACTACCGAATTTTTCATCTTTGGATTAATAGTGAAAATTCTATTCAAATCAGAGCAGTACTTTCCAAGTCACAGGTGGTCCAAATATTGGCGGACAGATCGACGGAGATGAGTGACATGGTTTTTCCTGATTCACATGTCAATTAACATAAAAAAAATACATAATCTCTCTATTTCTAAATTTTCGCGATTACAATACTTCCTCGCCAGGCGTGGAAAGTAAAAACTAATGATAATTGGATACAAGTTATTCACCATCGTGTTTTTGTGTTTTTTGGAGTAAAACAGAACCAATAGTGTTGAAATAACTATAGGAGGGCTACCGTCGATATGTAGGAAGTGTGAAATACTCAAAAAATATGTTCAATATGTGCAAGTTGCAACCGAAGTCGAAATCGAGTTGAAATCTGGTTGTTGTCGAGATGCCTTTGGTGAAAACAGCACCTATGAATAACAAACCGAAATAAAGACAAAAAGGTGACAAATCAGTCAGTTTCAAAAAATAATGTACACTTTATATGATCAAAGTTTGACAATTTCAATTCAAGATTAGATTCTATTCTATGAGACATTGATGTTTTTTATATCAAGAACGATTTCTTGCAAAGTAATCAAAAAACAAATCATATATTATATATTTGTCATAATGTATTTACCTTACAATCAATTTATTGCCATTAACGTCTACCTCAGTCAGCCACTTAGCGATGTTAGTAATCCTATTGAGCCTTAAAAGCTTTTCTATCTTGAGGTCCTTTATAACTTCACTAAAGTTTAACTCTTCAAAAGCTTTTGCAAGTGGCACGAACCCTTCCAAGCTCTTGTCTTCAGGAAGTGGATAGGTTGCATCTGGAGATATTTTGAGTCAGAATCACAATAAATTTTGGATATTTACAGTTGTATCGTCTTACATTTGGATAAATTTATCCCTTTGAGATATTTCTGGACACCATTCACTAGCTTCACCAAACTTGGCCATATAAGCAGTTTTTGGGTAAATGGTCGCTCTTTCAAAATCCCAGAGTTATGCTGAACATAGTATAAAACAATTTTAACTGGAAATAATGAAAATTATCAAATAATGTCACGGATACACGATAAACAGTATTATTTATCTACAATATACATCAAATCGACTAATCGACTCTATTACACTACAGCCTATATACCTGCAGGCAAAGCATAATAGTTTAGCAAGCCCTCGTCAACGTTCAGTGTATGTATGGGAACAAGCAGGGCACATAAAAATCCAGCAATCAGCTCCAAAACTAGTTCTCGAACCCGTTTTCCATCTGGCTTGTTCTCATCCACGTGTTTGATGGCAAATAGATTGATTGCAGCTATCTTCACTAACATATCTCCAGTGAAGCTCTGAGTCGCTACCAGAGCTGTCATTATTGAATTCAGTCTTTTCATGAACATCTCTGCTTGTTTTAATTCGGTATGAAGATGCAAGTATCCATGAGTACAAAGAAATAGTTGGATAAATTCGTTTGTTGTTATTTTTGTCTGGCATTTCTCCGAGAAACTAAAATGAAAAAATACGGTTTTATTTCTAGCTTAATAAAACTGTATTTTTCATAGCCGATATAGACTATGTGCATCCCTTTTTCAACACTGGTGCAGCTGATCCCTCCTTTTCTTGCTTGCTTCTTGAAAATACATATTCGGAATTTGTACATTGAAAGAGAGAACCCGTTCAAACCCTCTTTCTTTGTCGCTGTAGGAATTAGTCAATGGTTGATGTTTATTCCGGGTGTAGATAGAGCATGACACTGTCAATGTCAGAGAGAAAATTATTTTTCTCATATCATTTGTGACAAAAACATAATCTCTATTAGAACGGCAGGGTGATACTCTAAGAACAGGATATGGGAGTACTTCTGATGCTACTCTTCAACTTACTCTTTTGGTGCAAAATTTTATGTTTGAACATAATAGAATTTTTAATTCTTCTTGATCATAGATCAAAGTGAAAATATCCGATACAAATTTTGTATAGTGTGGAGTCCAAAAAGGTCATCGAAATGGAGTAATGCGTTTCTTACCTGTCTTTATCGATAGCAGAATTCAAAGTGTTGGCCAAGTTTGTACAGGAGGCAGGAAAAGGGTTCTTTACAGCTATACTTCTAATATAGTAATAAACTGTAGCCAGCTTGTTGTTCTGGCTCGCTTCAAGGAGTGCTAATTGATTATATGGATGACCACTAGATGGCGAAATCTGTATGGCCTGCCTAAAACAATTATTAGTGATTCAAATATCCTTTTTAACTTTATTTAGAACTATTGTCGAAACAATTTGATGGAGACCTGAGCCTTACTGTCTCAATCCTGATAGCTGATAGTAATGTTTGTAGATTTTTCAAGTTGAACATTTTGAAATTTGGATGTCAATTTTAAGCTCCCTGTACTGTCGCCACTGGACTCCTGTATAAAGCGGGAGGCCATGTCGGCATACGTAAGGATGCGTGATGTGGGCACGTGGGAGATGAACCGGTGGTTGGTCAGTCCAAGATCGTATATGTGACGGAGAGCAATCTCCCCATGTCTTCGGTAAAAGTGGAAAAGGCCAAGAACGCCATAAGATCAAATTTAGAATATTCACTCATCATCCCTACGACGGAAGAATGGATGGACCCTTTTCCCAGGAAACTTGATCCAGTAGGGCGGGAATATACTTGGAAGACAAAGGCATCTTAACGGTGGCATACTCAGAGGAAATTCAGCAGTGGACCGAGCGGAACATATTCATATGCTCCGACAGTCAAGTAGCTCTGAAGGCGGTCGCATCTCCGAGGACAAGTTCAGCCTTAGTTGAGGAATGCACTACTGCCCTTCAGAGTTTAGCTCGATCTAAAGAAGTGACCCTGCTTTGGGTCCCCGGTCACAGCGTAGCGCCGGGCAACTAAAAACTTGATCGCCTGGCCAGGTTGTGGGCCAGAAGCACTTGTATCGGTCCCGAGCCTAGGCTGGGCATAAGCAGGAGTCAGGTCAACGCGGTCCTGAATGAATGGATGTATAGGGACCTGGAAAGAGCGAGGCGAAAGAGAGATGGCTGCAGACAGGCCAAGAAGTTCGCAGCGGGTCCCGACAAACGACGGACGTGCTGGCTGCTGGACAGGGATAGAAAATCACTCAGCCTTTTGGTGAAGGTTCTCACCGGCAACTGTAGACACTTATGCCTATTAAAGGTGGTCAACACCAAAGTCCTAGGAGGAGAGAGTAAATTAGGGCCGTTACTATTTATTATCTATATAAATGATATCACGGACATTTTAGAACACTGCAAAATTCAAATATATGCGGACGATACATTGATATATATTTAACACATAAGCATTTGGACACTGCTGTAGAACTGTTGAATACTGATGTTAAAAAATGATGAATTGGTTAAATGTTAATAAACCTAAATTAAAGACCAATAAAACAAAATGTATGTCAATAGGGAAACATTTAGGTGACAATACAATTAGGCTCATGATTAATGATGGAAAAATTTAATTAGACCAATCATTTAAATATCTGGGTATAATATGTGGATAGTAAACTACTATTTCACGAGCATTATAAATACATTATTTCAGAAATATCAAAAAAGGTATATTACTTCTATAGAGGTTCCCACAATCTTAGTATGTATTCCAAAAAAATTGTGTATAACACTATAATTCTTCCCCATTTTTTATACTGTTCAACCAAAATTACAAATTCTACAAAATAAAGCTATGAGAATTATTTTAAATGAATACAAATATGCTAGGATTAAGTCTATGTTAGAAGAACTACTGTGACTGAATGTCAAAAATTTGCATGTTATTTAGTTCTTATTCTCATATTTAAATTAAAAAATAATTTATTACCACCACATTTAGAAAACTTCACAAAACTAAGTAGTCATTATCATAACTACGAAACTAAAGGCAGTACAGATTTTCATCTGCAAAATTGTAATAGTAGAATAACTAGCAAATCTGTATTTCAAAAGGGAGTATTTGAATTTAATAAAGTGACTAATGATATTGAATAAAAATGTTTGAGGCAAAATTAAAAAATCACTTTATGAATACTCAAAATGCATAGTGATGTAATTTTAATAAACAGGAATGTAAAATTACAAAAAATGGATTGAAGAAAAATGTGTAAGCCAATAATTATACAAAATTGACTTTATAGCATTAATGCTCAACAAACAAACAAACAAATTACATAACTTGAAAAGTGACATTATGTCAGGTTTTTTGACATATAGATTTTTTACGTAATAACCCTGTCAGTCACTCCGACAGGGAAGAGAGTTCACGTCTGGAATTATTGTTACTTGAAGAAAACCGACTATTCAGCTTAGGCGTGAAAACATGTGGACATTTTTAAGACACACTGAAAAAAGCTAGATGGTGGTACCGCCTCGGTAGATCCCGCTAGTCTGATCCTTGTCTACCACCTTCTTTTTGTTTATTACGGGTGTTAAATAGACCTAGACTTGTACAGCCAGCCGGAAATCGGCACTGAGGTATTCCATAGCTCGAGTGCAATCACTTGAACGGCAAGAAGTTGTATACTAAGTGCATCAACTTCCGGAGCAAGCATTTGCCACGGTCTGCTTGATAGGAGTAGGCGAGTGGAATCCTAGTTTATGTAACGCAACGCGTACAATTTGGTCGGACATTCTTGCTTGATTTTTTAGTCTTTCTGAAGAGAAATACTGACCAGAGAAGTGTCTGCATATTCCAAACAATATTGCCAAGATATAATCGAGATATAGCATCTTTAAAGTGTTGTAATTGTGTATGTGTTTTATTATTATAATGTAATTCACACTTGATGTATTTTAATAATTGTTTTTTTGTCATGAATGACATTCAAACTGTAATTTTGATCTGTTTTTCTCTCTCTGATAGACCATGCAAAACATTCTTTTGTATTTTTGCAAATAAAGCTTATTGATTCATGTATCTGAGATATATATTCAGGACATAAATATTTCAATTCAATGATTGAAAGTAATCAAACTTACTTATAAAATGTTTCAGCCTGCTTCCTCTGATTCCTATACCTTGCTATATCCCCTAGATGCACCAAACAGTATTGACAGATGTAAAGGCATGATGTGATGTGAGGCATATTTATCTCACAACTAGGGATCATTTGTCCATAGAAATTGCCGCGCCTTCTAAATGGAAGATCCATATCAAATGCATTGCACAGCTCCTGAAGTAAGGTTATAAAAAATCCTGAGGCCGATTCCAGGGAATACATCAGCAAGGCTTGATAAGAAGCTCTGGAGGAGTTCTGTTGAAAAATTAAATTGGTGGATAATAGAAATGGAGATATTGTAGATTAGTCAGTACACACATTTTCAAAAATACAGAATTAAGTAATAATTTTGAAAAATATTGCATCTTTCCTATTCAATAGGAACAATTTGTTTAAACCTTCAGTCTTGCTCAGACTGTTTGTGAATTATGAGGTCATTATTATACATAAAGTAAATTATATTATATAAGTTTATATCAGAAAAGGTGGTATTCTAAAACTATGGGGTATGAGGTACCTGTGAATATTCAAATTTCTTAGTTATGTAATAACAAAGACTTTTACAATTCAAGTCATAACACTAATTGGAGTCCAAAAACAATCCATAGGCTACTCAATGGCTGCAATCAGTAGTATTCTACAGCTAAATCTTAGTGCTGTTGGGAGTAGATTACGTTCATTGTCAGCTCATTAACACACAACTGAGCAAAAGCATACTTTAGACAGCTTTCAGACTGATCCTTTTGTATCTATCCAATAATCCAACATTGTAGGAAAAATTAACCAATAATACTGCTTTTGTTCATCCAATGAGTATGAAATAGCTCTAAACCCTATTTCACAAGTATTCATCTCATTTTGATGTCTACTGAAGTGAACAGCTGATCAGCTAGTGACATACTTCAAATGAACTTTTTTAAATAGCAGAGTTGTTAGCATGTAAAAAATGAATCATTAGCATCCAAAAGCCAAAGCAAGATATGGCTCTGCCTACCTGGCATTGATGGATCTGTCAGAGTTATGTGTCATTTGCTGATATGGGGAATTTTGAAATATGACAAGATAATTAGCTGATATTCTACTGTAACAGATACTCATGAAAAAGTCCTCAGAACAAACACAGTATTAATAATTTTCAATGGCAAGCACACCACATGTACTATATCACCAGAATCAGTAGCATTTAGCAGCCTCAGGTGTTGGGAGCTCTCCCTCACTGAGATGCCATGATTATATAATTCACATCCATAAGCAAAATAACTTATTGAAATATGGATTTTGGTGCTGTCAACACTAGCCACCATATCAGGAAGCTGCCATATATTTCAATACGTTGGTCGTGATCAGTTGGGAACCTCTTAAGTTTCAAATCTTGGGAATGAGATCTACTAATTGCCATACATAAAACAGAGTCCCATGCCACCTTGCTCTTCAGTTTTGAAACCCTGGGAGTGGGCCCTACTAATTGACATACATTAACCAAAGACTTGGCTTGACAAGAAAAAACAGTAACAGATGCCATTTGTGTTGTCGAGCAGTTGTGCTTTAAACACCAAGTCTACTAGTGGAATATAATAGATGTTGAGAAATATAGAATTCAATTGAATGAATCTTGAATTTTAGAGGCATCCTGGCCACCATAAGGAGCCAGTGCATAGGCCGCTTAAGCGGGCCCTTATGCACCTCTACAATACTTAAATCACAAGCCTCGCCCTTTTAGCGAAGTTGAGAATCGCCTTGAGTCCAAGCTCCTTTACGTCCTGAGGGTCCAAAGTAATGGACCCCAGTATAGTCTGCCTATAGTAGCTCAGAGCTTCACAGCGACACAAAACGTGCGCCGAGGTCTCTTCCTCTACTCCGCAGCGTTCGCATAAGGGATCCTCAGCCACCCCCATCACGTGCAGGTGCCGCCTTAACGTGTTATGGCCAGACAACAGTCCCACCAGCAACCTTAGGTTGGCTCTACCCAGAGATAGGCAGAAGCGTCCATCCTTAGCACTGGGCCCTTCAATGAGCTCTCGTGCCTGGCGGAGAAGTCTAGAGATACTTCTCCATTTCTGAGAGTGTTGTCTTGCAACCCACGTCTCCATTTTCCTCCTAGCTTTATGCGCGGTTACTCCTAGAGCTGGCTCAGGACCAACGAGCTTGCTGGCTGATCCTGTTTTCGCCAGAGTGTCCGCCGTCTCATTGCCCCTTATCCCAGCGTGCCCCGGTACCCATATTAACGATACCGGATGCCTCGCTGCGAGGCAATCCAGAGCCTCCCTGCATTGCAATACAAGACTCGAAGTAATCTTACATGCACTTAGTGCTTTCATTGCAGCCTGGCTGTCGGATAAGATTGTTATTCTTCTCCTAGGCCCACCCTCCTCCAGAATGTGAGATACACAAGCCAGAATCGCAAAGATTTCCGCCTGGAAAATGGTGGTGTACTCACCGAGAGGCAGAGATAGCCTAGTTCTAGGTCCAGAGACCCCAGCACCTGAGCCCTCTTCGGTGACCGAGCCGTCCGTGTACCAGACCTGCCCGCTCACTTCGGAGAGTCCTCGGCTACCGGCGTCCCACTCCTCCCTCGTTGGGTACTCCACAATGAACTTGCGGTTGAAGCGATATTTAGGGGTAATACGATCACCCCTGCTTAGAAGGACGGGGTCCTCCCTTTCTAATTCGACTAATTCAATACTGACATAGCAATTATTTAATAACAGACATGATACCTTACTATCACATGCAGACTCTTGCAAACAGGTAATGACGTTCCTGAATCCAACTGACCACAAGTCCTGCTCCACTTTTTTGTCTAGCGCATATTCCAAGTCCATGACCAAAAGCTGATAGTAGAAATTTTGCAATTGCTGTAGCATAATCCATTCTTCGTTGCTGTTCAACCAGTCACACTTTTTGGTCAGCTTTGATTTTAACTCGTCTGCTTGCCTTAAAAGAAGCAGATTTGATAATTTTATTCGACTGTCTCTATCAATATTCATACTTCAAAATCTGAACGGCCTTCTTATATCCCATCTTGTACGCTCGTTATGCGCCTAGGTTATTCCAATTTCAGATGTTGCTACGGTTGAAATACGCATTTATATTTCGAACGAGCAATTTTCTGTTTCAGGGTGCCTAGAAATAATGAATTTAAAATTAAAAAACATAGCAAAAAACAAACAAATATTTTTAGGTTATACATACGTCAATTCAAATGTCAAATTGTTCACGTGACGTCATGACCACACAACCCAACGTGACAGCACGTGAGTAATGGATAGAGGCTGCAGTTACAAGGGGTGTGAGATGTATACTTGAATTTCTGCTCTAGTGTCTAGCTGGAATGTTGATTTGAGTGAATGGTAATTTCACTCGATTTCGAGAAAAGTAAGAACATTAAGTTTCCAATTATAGTGCCCCCCTGTAACCGGTGTATGGTAGTTTTAAAAATTAGGGTAGAGATATGTGAACGTAATTGTTCATTCAACATACATTCCAACATTTGTGGTTAGCTGGTGCGAAGGAAGCACTCATGGGCTTATCAAGGAGGGGCAGGTGCCCACCTTCTTTCTAGCTCGACCAAAGAGAACATTTTTCTATAAAAATTATTCTAAATCAACATCTATTAAATGAGAAATTACTAGGATTAGTTGAAATCTATGTTATATTTTCACTTATTTATTTAATTGCTCCCCGTACATTTGTTCTTAAAACTTGGAGAAATATTTACAGACGCGAATCGGGTCTTGGTCGCGGGCCTCCTTCCTTCGTGCAGTAAACTCTGTCTGCGTATGACTCACAAGGTGTGCGCGATATGCTATATAGAAGCATTATGCTTGGAGTGAAATTTTATGAGGTTACTTGATTTCATATATGAGTACATGCGTGTCAAGAGCTATTATAATCAGGTATCAAACATTGTTGCAAAATAGTTTTATACTAGAGTTAGCGCTACAAATGAATGCGGCTATCGGGTACGGGCATGCTCATTGTTGAAATCTGACAATTTTTTTTGATGAAAAGCCCAAATTGTGCCCTATTGGTTCACACAAAAGACCTAATTTTTTTTTCATGCCAGTGCAATACATGAAAAGTTGTACTAGAAGCTGACTTGTCACCATTTTTTCCAGATGAGGGATCCTTGCATTCACTCTAAATAATATATAATTCCTTTGTTAAGTGTTATACTATTTTTTCTCTAACAAGGACCACTTTTGGCTAGTTAGCCTGATAAAATAAGTTTTGTGACGTTTCTAGGCAACATACTGGAACAGCAAAGTTTCCCGATTTTTCAACGCAGATTACATTCTACACCTCTTGTTGTCGTATTTGGAATTACACAAAAGTGACTGGATGATTAGGATTTGAAAAAGGACTTTTGTTGGTTTTCAAAATCTTTGTATGTATCGAAAAACCAAGTTTGTCTTTTTGTGAATTTTGTCTCCTCTAAAATAAAAAAGATGAAGTCAAGTTTGGGGGAGTTCCAATACTTCCATGGCCTATTGACTTCACTGAAATTACGAATTTTAGACCTAGGTATATAAAGGCAGTGTATCAAAATTTCGTCATGGGTCTCAACTATTGCGAACGACTGGAATATTACTAAAAAAAACGTCCCGTGCAATATTTGTATGGACCGTGGAAGACACTGCATAAATGGATAAGACAATGAAATGCAAACAGAAAGAAAACTATCAATCATAATAGAGTAGATATGCTTCGTGGACGTTTCACCAAACATTTTTTTGAAGCAGTCCTCTTCCGTTTTTGAAAACGTCAAAAAATCGGAGAAAATCGTAATGTTCAACTTTGAACATAACCTCTCTTCAGAAAGGACAACACAAATGACACGTCTGGCACAGCTAATAGATATATGTCATGGGCAGCCAACCACACATCTTCTCAGAGTATACTCTAGAGCAGGCCTCTCCAACTCGGGTGCCACCAGTGCAGCGCCAAGCACCGCTCGCAGCACAGTGCTGCGGGGTGACTCGGTGAAGGTGGGGGAGGGGATTAGGCAGCGGCATGCACTTGTGCGACTGCGACCCACCCGGACATATTGAGCAATCTTATTGCAATTTTCATTGCAATAGATTGGTTGTTTGCCATCTACGATGGCAAAAATTGAGAAGCTGGCTAACCAGCTGAAAGAAAAGAAAGATGCTTTCGCCATGCTGGGAGAGCAGATGCGAAACCTGCAAGAAGCCTTCTTGCAGGCTCAACAGGAGATCGAGGAGCTGAACGGGAAGCTCCGCAGGGCCAAGAAGAAGGCCGCAAAGAAGACAGAAGAAGAGGAGGAAGAGGACCACCAGGCTACGTCGGACGAGATGGACGCTCAGGAAGAGGGCACTCAACGGACCGAAGAAATAGAAGAAGAAGCCGAGAAGAGGACCGACGACACCGATTTCAGTGTCGCCACTAGACGGAGTAAGCGGGTGCGAGTTTCCTCCTCCGAAGATGAGTCGCCCAGGCAGCCAAAGATGCCAGCTGCTGCCACCAAGAAGAGTCCTAGAGCAGCCATGACCATCGTGCCCCCCATGTCGGGAACAGGAGTTTTCCCCATCAGCATCGAGGGCACCGCTGACTGGTCATCCTTAAGCAGGATGATGAACAGCAAGGGGATCCAATTCTCCAAGGCGAGGACGGCGGGTAACAGTGTGAAGGTGTTCACAAATACACCAGCTGACTACCGTCAGCTAGTCGCACTGCTGGAATCCATCAAGCGGCCCTTCTTCACCTATCAACTGAAGGAGGACAGGATGGACCAGAGGGTCATTCGTGGGCTACCCAGGGAGATGTCAGTCAATGACATCAAAGAGGATCTAGTGAGCCAAGGCATCGCAGACGCCGAGGTTCAGCAGATGACCTCAAGGACCACCAAGAAGCCACTTCCGCTCTTCCTCGTCAAGACGAAGATGCCGGAAAAGCTTGCAGAGATCCAGAGGCTGGCCAGGCTCACGGTCAGCTTCGAGAGGAAGAAAAAGTCTTCCGAGCCCAGGGAATGTTACCGCTGCCAGCGGTATGGGCACACACAGCGGAACTGCCGTCTCGCTGAACGGTGCGTTAAGTGTGGAGAGGACCACAACAGCACCAGCTGCAGTCTGCCAGCGCCGCCAACAGGGCAACGAAACGCCAAGTGTTGCCTCTGTGGAGAAGGCCACCCCGCCAACTACAAGGGATGTAGTAAGGCCCCGAAGAAAGCTGCTTCTGCCCCCAAAGCAGTCCCCACCACAAATAGGACTTCTTACGCTCAAAAAGCGAAGAAACCTATGCCCACTTCTGCCCCAGCAGCCGCCACTGCTACTGGAACTACTGCGCAGAAGCAACACGGCGATGACAGACTGCTAGCAATGATGCAAGCCATCATAACCCGCCTGGATGCACTCGAGGCCAAGATGCAAGACAAGCACTAGACCCGAAATGTCTACAGGGCAAAACGTAGAATCTCTACGCATTATCTCCTGGAACATCAACGGATTCAGGGCACGGAAACCAGAAATCCAGGAGATACTAGACCAGTACCAACCAGAGGTGATGGCCATCCAAGAAACGAAATTGGATGCTGCCCATAGTCTGACGTTCCCGCGGTACGAGACGTACCGCTACGACAGAAGAGGCAGAGGTGGAGGAGTCGCATTACTCGTCAAACGTACCTTGACGAGTCATGTCCTCGACGATGCCGCAGACATCAATGGGGACGGAATCACGGTCCAGGTCCATCACAACCACCGTCCCTACAGAATCACCTCCCTATATGTGCCACCAGGGGAGGCCCTAGACGAAGATGACATCGCTGACCTCCTGAGAGGCCCAGGAGCACGCATAGTCATCGGAGATCTAAACTGCAAGTCTCCGGCATGGAACAACAACGTCGAAGACAGGAATGCAAGGCAGCTCCAAGAACACGTCGATGCCCTGGCGGGGGTCATCGTCGGTCCGGAGCAACCAACCTACATTCCATTCGGCCTTGGGCGACCTGCGGTACTGGACATAGCCATCCTCCGCAACATCAGAGAGGAGTTCGAGATAGAGACCCTGGTGGAAGGATCTTCGGACCACAATCCGATTCTACTAACACTTGGCACAGGGTCTAGAACTCGAGATAGCTTGAGCACCAAACGGACGAACTGGAACCTGTACAAATCGAACGTCCAAAGGAACATCACTCAAATTCCAACCATCCGATCAGCGAAGGAACTGGACAACGCAGTAGAGGAGCTGGAGAATGCTGTCCTGCGAGCGCACGAGGACAGCACCCGCTCCGAGACTACGGCAGTTCCTAAACACCTAAATGGTCCAGCACCGCACCAGATTAGGCACCTGATCAGGGAGAACAGAAGACTCAAGCGAGAACATCTCCAACTGTTGACAGAGGCGTCGAGAGTTGCGCGAAACAGAGCATCGTTAGCTCTGAAGAACGCACTCGCGGAACTCCAAAACAGCAGATGGAAGGCAGCCTGTGCAGAACTAGAGACCCAGGATGGTACGGCCTGGTCTATGCAGCGAAAATTTCGTCGTCAGCGCACCACGATCCCCACTCTTCACGGCCAACGCGGCTTGGCCTACTCCAGTGAAGAAAAAGCCGAAGCATTCGCCGATTCGCTAGAATCCGAATGCAGACTCAATTACCATGAAGAATAGGACGACAACCACGAGGAGGCCGTGGAAGTCGCAGCCGAAAACATGAGGAGTCGACCACCTGGCCAGGAGACGGATCACCCCTCCAGTCCAGAGGAAATCCGTCTGATCATCCGCAGGTTGAAGGTCAGAAAGGCGCCGGGAAGGGACGGCATCAACAACAGGATGCTGAAGAACCTCCCCACCAAAGGCATTGCTGCGCTCACCAACATCGCCAATGCCACCCTGAGACTTAACCACTTCCCGCGGCGGTGGCGGGAAGCCCAGGTTATAATGCTCACCAAGCCAGGCAAGGACCGGAAGTTGCCCCAGAACTACCGGCCCATCAGCTTGGTTTCCTCGATGGGCAAAGTAGTCGAAAAGGCTATCGCCGTTCGACTAGAGAAGCAGGCAGAAGAACTGCAACTTCTCCCCCCAGAGCAATTCGGCTTCAGATCCTCGCACAACACGGAACTCCAAGCGCTACGACTGACAGAAAACATCACCAGCGGCTTCAATCTCCAGGAGGCAACCGGTCTCGTCCTGCTGGACGTGGAACGAGCCTTCGACCGAGTTTGGCACGATGGACTCATCGCCAAAATGGAAGCCGCCGGAATCGATGCGAACATGTGCCAACTGATCCAGAGCTATCTAACACAAAGATGGTTCACGGTGAAGATTGGTACATGCCATTCAACAAGACGACAGCTGGAAGCAGGCGTGCCCCAGGGGTCAGCCTTAGCCCCCCTGCTCTACAACATCTATACTCACGATGTGCCGAAGACAGCTGACACAATGCTGGCCCTATATGCAGACGATACTGCTATAGCCGCCAAGCATAGACGAGCCGAGATCATCCGTAGGAGACTACAGGATGAACTGGACCACATCCAGGACTGGTGCGTGAAATGGAAAATCCGCATCAACGTCCAAAAGACACAGGCAATCTTCATTCAACGAAGAAGGATTGCAAGACCTCTCGAAGCATCCATCTTCGACGAAGATATCCAGTGGAGCGACAAAGTCAAATATCTGGGGATCGTATTTGACAAGTCCCTCACCTGGAAAGCCCACATAGAAGCTGTCATCGCAAAGACCAGAGCAGCCATGGCTCAACTCTACCCATTACTGGGTAGACACAGCCGGATGCCGCTAGCGACCAAGCTACGGCTGATCAAGGCCATCGCCAGACCTCAGCTCGCTTACGCCTCCGCGGTCTGGGGGTACGCTGCCCCCAGCTACCGCAAGCGACTTGCTGCTCTAGAGATGAAGCTACTCCGGATCGCCACCAGTGCACCATCCTACGTAAGAAACTCAACCTTGCGTAGAGACCTGCATTGGGACACCATCCACGAGTACATGAGGAAAAAAGCGGAGAAGACCTTCGAGAAAGCTCAGGACCACCCGAACGAGCAGCTACGATTCCTCATGGACTACGATCCGGACGAGAGGCCTCGCAACCGCAGAACCAGGTACCCCAGACCAAGGTCCCAGTTGGCACCCGCTAACTGGAACCTTGACTAGGAGACTAGGAGAACTCGCGGTTGCTTCCCCCCCCACGGCGTGGATGCAGAGGACCAGGAACCACTGGGACCAGGACCCACCGGGACCAGGACCAACCAGGACCAGGACCCGCCACGACCAGGACCCACCAGGACCAGGACCCTTCAGGACCAGGACCAGGAACAACATATTGGTAAGAGGACTTGAAACTCTTGATTTTTCGAAAACAAGAGTTTCAAGAGAAACTAGCAGACCCTCTATAGATGATCGCTTAACGACATCGATAGAATGTGCGAGGTAAAGGGAACCAACCCGGCGTTCCCAGAGACTGAAACACATGAGGAGACGTTGTAGCAGACCGCAGGTCACGCACAACACATGGCCTACCGAGACGCTGATGAGTCAGGCCACGCGGAGGTTTAGGGTTTAGTGGGTATTAGGTGATCTCCTCAAGACCCTGGAGTCCCACACACGCCGTAGCTCGGGCTATGGTATGGTGCGTAAATGCATTCCCCCCTCACCAAAAAAAAAAAAAAAAAAGCGAGGAAGGTGTTGTGCTAACCGTAGCACCCTGCAAATAGAAATGACGCAGAAGGTGAAGGCATTGAGTATACGTTCATCGCGGATTCGACTAAATTTAGTAATAATATGTAGTTTTTAAGTAAATGAACAAGAAGAGTTCAGTAAGACGGGGCGGGGCGCAACCTGCCAGAAGTACCTGTCATACCGACTTAAAGATACAGCGCGACAAGAGAATTTCACCGTCCTCACCGAATCCAATGAAGCCTACAGGGTTTGATGAAAATTTTAGGCTCATTTGGAAAACCATGGTATGACAAACTGATTTCCGCCAGAAGTTTCTGTCGTACCGACTGAAAGCTATAGCAGGCAATGCAAATAGATCAAAATAATACATCCTGTTTGTATGCTTCATGCTTGCATTTAAAAGCTCATTTGAGTCTGTCAGTTTGACACCAGACTTCTAGATGTTTGAAAGTAAATGTAAAACGAATATGAAACGTCATGACCGTTGATGTACGTATAGGTTATGGTAAAATCCTACCGTCACGTTGTATCTTCAAGTCGATATGACAGGTATTTTCATCGGCATACCAAGCCCTTTCTGTTCATTTACATAATTTGAAACTATACATATTATTACTAAGGTTTAATTTCGACGGCTCCCAGCCCCAACGGAAAATGAGTCTGATCGAGTCAACGCGCGGGTGATAAATAATGTTCATAATTTCGACGTAAACACATTTATTCTTAAGATGATCTTTGACAGCGTTTCGCTTCAACAAGTTTTCTAAGATTTGCTACAGTGGATTGAGCAGTGGAAATTCTGAGTATCGCCTCTAAGGACACATCAGACAAAGACCTGTTTTTAGTTTTGTTCAAATTCATTAAAGAAAACTTTTGCTCGCACGTTGTACCGAACATGAAGAAAGTTTCCAAGGCCAGTGCAAGAATTTTGGAAAATCTTGCTGTTAACACCTTGATAAAATGAAATTAAATTACTATTGTAGTGGTAGTATCTATCCTTAAGGATCGTATCGCATTGAAGCTTAATCAGCTCTATTTGAAACTGCGGCGGTTCTGTTTCGAAAAGCACTGAAGATGGTGTCGTAAAAATCTCATTTCCATAAACATCTCAACGTCGTCAATGATTTAAAAAAAATCTTTAGCACTTTTAAAAATACTTCAAACTGCCGTGGTTGAGACCTTGCTTTCTGCAGAAATTGAAACATGTTATTACTACATCCATCATAGATTTCAAATTACGGAAGGTTTTTGCACACAGTTGTTCCTGATGTAATATACAGTGTACCGATGATGTCGAAGGTAGCCCAGCGTCGCGTACTTTTATTTTCATTCGCCCAGTAAAACCTTGTGCTTCCGATAACATTGCTGGCGCTCCATCAGTAACAACACTACGCAAACTTTTGAGTAGTATACCCATGTCATTCATTGTGTATTCTACAGCATCAAAAATATATTCTCCGGCCATTGTATCTTTGAGCGGGATAACGTCTAGTAGTTCGTCGGTGATAGCAAAGACTATTTCGACACTTCTATCGAAAACAGCTAATTATGCTGTGTCACAAATGTCTTTACTTTCATCGAGAGCTATAAAATACTGCACAAAATGGGCACATTTTCCCGCAGTTGTTCTTTTAAATCTGCACCAAGTTCAAGTATCCGACGAGAAATTGTTTGCTCGGACATACTAATTGTCTCAAAGTTGCTTACATTAGATGGGACAATATTTATGCACACTCCACTAAGCATTCTTTGACAAGTGCACCGTCAGTAAACGGTCTCCAACTTTTTGCGATTTTTAAAGCAACAATATAACTTGCATTACGACACCATTAATAATAGTCAACTACGACTAAATTAATAATCAGCTTTTCAAAACTTCGAAGGACTGGCCTCAATACCGTGTGACGAATTAAACATTATGCTTTTCCATCAGTATTTACAAAAAATAGGCTTCTTCCATGCAGGATTGAATGACATCGTTTAAAAAAAGATGCACGTTAAGACGCTAAAAAACCTGTCCACTTTGTCTTGTCCTATTAAAAAATGTCCCGCGCCCGAGAGACTGTCGGCTAATATGTTTCTCTCTGTCGCGACGGCTGTGCGGTCGAGGTGGAGGGGGAACGGCACCGGTGCCGCTGGGTTCAGTACCGGAGCGCACTAGCCCCAAGTGCTCGGGTTGGATAGGCCTGCTCTAGAGACTCTATATATCCATATCTCGGCATTTTGCAACCACGTTTTGCAACCAACAAAGCATAATGAGGAACTGACTTGCTTGCATGGGTGTGTCCATACCACTAGATCCGCCCATGAAAGCATTTATTCTGATAGTTAAAATTTACGAATTCGCAGCTTGGGCGTTTTTTATGTCGTTGCTCTCCGTGAAATTTGATGTCACTCACTTAAGTTGAAAGAGTCGATCTCTCCGTCGGTCCATCTACACAGTACCATTGTATTAAACTATTAATTAACGTATTCTAGCTGAAGACATAGCTAACCGAATGTCATATTCGCGAGTACCCACAAATTATCCGAGATGAACTGAAAAGTCTTCGCGTTCTCTATGAGAATTTGTCACAGCTATGTCTCTCCTCTCTGCGATAATCATAAATCTGTTTTGAAATGGTTACTATCATCTAGATGGTGTCCTAGATATTGGGTTGTAGCCAGCTATAGATAGAAATCCATATACTGACGTGGTGATGTGTAGGAGAGAGAATAATTGCGATAAGTGTACAATACATATGTTAGAAAGAGATAGAGGCATCACGTTGCTTAGCAACCCGAGTGACAAGGCCACGGACCCAGCTGTGGCTTGCCGTGTTGCCATCGGTACACTCTTTCTAACATTCTTATTGCACGCTTTTTGCGCTTCTCTCTCGTATCTAGGAGACCATCTTGGACACAGTAACCCTTTCAAAGTAAATCTCAGATTATCGCGGAGAGGAGAGACATGGATGTGACAAATTCTCATAGAGGACGCGACGATTTTTCATTTCATGAAAGCCAACCTAATACTGCATTTCGACACCAAAAATAATAATAATTATAATGATACTGATATCTAATAATAACAATAATAATAAAGAAGCAGAAAATATTTCCAAATTGAAGTCCAGCGGATGGAGAATACCAACGAGAGATGCCTTCCTGAATACGGTAAAGATTAAGTGAATAAAAACGACTAATAATAATAATGGTTTCGTTTATTTGCCTAAAGTAACAATAAAATGAGTTGCAAATAAACGGTAAAACTCGCAAATGAGATATCATGACGTCATCTATGAGAATTTGTCACAGCCATGTTTCTCTTCACGCAATAAATGAAAATCTACTTTGATAAAGGTTAGTGTTTCATAGAGAACTATATGAGCATATAGGTACACTAAACTTTTCAAAGTAGATAGATAATTAAAACTTTTGGACGCCGGAATCTAGGTTGGCTATCTCCAGAATATGTAAATCATTAGTAGTTTGTAGCTCTTAGTGTTCTTGAATACTTATATCTAATCTTCTTGGAATGCAATAATCACGTTTACCCCCCACACGTAAAGGTATTGTGATAGAAATAGTATTCGAAAATTTATTCGTTGGTTTATGACGTCTCGGTATCATGAAGCCATATCTCTCCCTGCAGACATTCGTCAGAAAATTTCTGACAAAAGAGCTGCAATTAAGCAAGCGAAGTGATCTTGTCACCCAGATGACATTCGCAGAGCAACGAATCTTGTGAAGTGAGAAATGCTCTTGATGAATTCCGTAATGAGCAATGGAGCGACTTTCTGTCGGGGATGCTTGACTCAAGTATTCCTCTCTGGAAAGTTGCAACGTTGCTCAGAAACGGAAAGCGAGAACAACTCCCGCACATCCACGGTCCTAGAGGCATAGTCTGAAGGACAGAGGAACAGGTCGAGGTTTTCGCTGATGCAACGGAAAGTCAGTTCTCTCGCAACTATGACCTTGATAATGACCTCGACGAGGAGTAACATATTGTAAGATCCGTCAGGAGATATTTTAGGGCAAACGGCGTCAGTGGCAGTAGTGTCTCCCTTAGTGATTTTTCCTCAAAGGAATCTTAAGAAGATTCCTCAACTGAAGACTGAAGAGCTCCATGGCGCATCCGCGGAATCTCATGAGACTCCGCATTGCACACCAGCAGAGCTTCAAGGTCATATTAAAGACCTCAAGGTGCGTAAAGTACCTGGAGAGGATCGAATCACTAATAAGGCGCTGAAGCTGCTTTCGTGGAAGTCCTTAACTTATCTCGTGGCAATAATCAATGCCATGCTAAGGACCCAGCACTTTCCAGCGGCCTGGAAGTAAACTGATGTCATAATGATTCCAAAGAAGGTGGGTTCGATATTCCCACAGGATTACCGCCCCATTAGTATACTGTCAGCTCCTTCTAAGCTCGCTGAGAAGGTGATTCTACGTCACATTGAAAATTTATCTTCAGACCACAATGTGATTCCTGACGTGCAATTTGGCTTTCGGTCTGAGCATAGTACGAAGCTACAGGCCATTAGGCTTGTTGAACGAGTAACCACTGGGTTCACCCGTAACGAAAGTACTGGCATCTTGCTTCGGGATGTCTCAAAGGCATTTGACAAGGTGTGACACAAGGGCCTTCCCTACAAATTGATCCATAAGGGCTTCCCCTTCTGGCTCCGAAAACTTCTGAAATCCTTCCTCGAGGGTAGGAAATTTCGGATCAAAATTAATAACGTTCTGTCGACAACACGGCCCATCAAAGCCGGTGTCCCTCAGGGTTCGGTACTTGCACCAGTCCATTATTCACTTTTTATTCATGACGTCCCTTGCTCCAGCAACTGTGAAATCTATCTATATGCTGATGACACTGCCCTGCTGGCCCAAACGTGTTCTGGGCATCTAGTTCACGACAGGCTGCAAAGTGCAGTGGACGAGGTATTGGAATGGGCGAATCGGTGGCTGATCAAAATTAATCATTCGGAAATTCAGGTAATCTATTGTACTAAAAAACGTAGCGGCGCTACGCACAAAGTTCGGCTATACAAGATGGTTATTAGACCAGCTATCACTTACGCAAGTGCGGCTTGGTGTTTTCTCGCCAAAATGCTTTTGCATAGCATGCAGGTTTTGCAGAACAGAACCTTGCGTACAATCACTAACGCCCCATGGTATGTTTCCAACGAGACCCTTCACAGAGACCTTGACATCCCTTACCTAAGCGACTTCATCAAACAACGGAATCGCATAGCAACACTTTGTTGCGGGAGTCAGTAAACTACACAGTCGAACAAGTTCGCAAGCATACAAGGCCGCGACCCGCACTGTGAACAAAATTAAATCATGCGACTTTAGGTCCAACCAAAATTTTTCTTCAACGACCAATCTCAAAATTAATTTTAGGATCAATTTAAAATTGCCGAATACTAATTAGCAATGCCAAGGCACCCCTCAAATTGACGCACTTCTTTTTTCTTTGCTCTCCCTCGTTCCTTCCTTTCTTCTTCCCTTCTTTCTGCCTGAATTTGTTTGGTGTCTGGGCAACCAGACCTTACAGACCTACTGACTTACAAGACTCTAAAAAAGAGCAACGGTTTTACGGACCGCTCTGACAGACAATGACGAATAGGGGGAAGACATATCATTTTATATATTTGTTAATGATCTGTCTATTTTGACGTATGTTTCATTTACCAAACCAAATGACCAGGTATAATAATATTCACAAAAATTTCAATAATGAGACGAATTTCTGCGGATGGAACATGACTCATGTACATCACGAAACACCGTGTCCGTCAGTCTGTCAATCAGTGCGTTGTCCGCTAATCCTTGGCCCTGTTATAATATGGAACTTTGATGAAGTTGCGACTATAACGGCAAAGCTTTAAAGCTTTTTGAAAATTGTCCAGTGAAGTATCAGAAGCTCCTGATCATTATTAAAAATATTTCTGTAGGGGCAAAAAATGAAGATATACTTTGTTCATAGTCAACACTTTTTGGAATGTTAAATTTCTTGTGAAATACGAGTTTTTAAGTCTTACTTCTCACGACAACAGAAAAGTAAGTAGGTAAAGTAAGTATTGTAAGCGCGAAAAAAATTTGATATTGAGATAGCATGTGTAGGGGAGTGAATATTCTCCATCTCCTATTAGACATACGTATTTCACATATATCATAGATTTTCTCGTACATTTGTCAATGAAACTTGATGATTTGTGATCGAGATATATTTTCAACACATCGTGGACGCATCGCAACCAACGTATCCGTGGCGGAGTCTGACGGTTGGCGAGGCGTTTGTTCTAAAGTTTCATATAAAAAACCTTTTTCGTTACACTAACCTGATAAATAGTCATTATTTACTGCATTCCTGTAGGAGAAGTTACATTTCTCTTCCTGGGTAAATAATGATAATGAAAAAAAAACCCTAGGTAAATAATCAATATGTGCATTCATATAGAACTTCTTTTGTTTGGTGGGCACGTAATTGTCAACGCTATTAAATCATTTATCCATTTTTAAATATTTCTAATAATTTTTGCTTACTATAAATCAATATCAAGTCTATAACAGGAATTATTGCTGTTGGTTGTATTTATTTATCTCATTATTTTGACAGCTTGAAAGTCCCATGATCGTTGATAATTTGGAGTATTTGAAAATGAGTGGGAACGAACTATTTTTGTCGGTCTCGAGCTCATAGCAGCAGCGTCTCTTCTTCGGACCGTTCAGTGATTCAGACATTTCGTGTGCTTTATTCGAACAGTGTTGCCGGAAGTTCCGAGAATTCCCAAATATTTGAATGTTTAATCAAATTAGATCATTAGCAGTGAAAAAAAATTCTACCTACCCAATACAAACGTCGCTGGAAAAGGCCATTATTGTCCTCTCACAATATATCCCTCGGCGCTATGCATCTCAGGATATGAAAGTGTACTTTTTACTATGTAAAGGGTTTTTAATTAAGCGTGTATGAAGTTTAGAATTGAATAAAACAAGTTGGAAAGTTTAATTGCGGATAGAAGTACATTCAATACCATTACGTTGTACGAATTACATCATTCAAATGGTCTCCGCGGCTTTGTTCACATGACTCGATCAGAGAGGTTCAATTTTGTAAAACTCTGCCGCATAAGTCGGGCTGGATTTCACCAATAGTTTGAATGATGTTGTTCTCCAGTTGGTGAATAGTTGTTAGTTTGTTGCCATAAACCAGCGACTTAGCGTAACCCCAGAGGAAACAGTCTAAGGGCGTTAAGCCGCACGATCTTGGTGGCCATTCTATATTGCCTCTTCTGGAAATAACGTGTCCTGGAAACTTTTCTTGCAACAACTGCACTGTAATGACCGATGTGTGACATGTTGTACCGTCTTGTTGGAGACACATGTCGTTCAGGTCCATATCATCCAATTGTTTCAGAATATGTACGCTCCAATGACGGCGCCTGACCAAAACCCACACCAAACAGTAAGTTTTTCCGGATGCAATGGAGACTCTTGATAATGTCGTGGATTACTGTCTCCCCAAATGCGATAATTTTGTTTATTCACGAAGCCGTTTAACCAAAAATGTGCTTCATCAGTGAACATGATTTTTTTGCCAAAATCTGGATCCGCTCGCGACTGTTCCAGATCCCAATCAGCGAAAGTACGATGCGCTTGGTGATCTTGGGGCTTCAGTTCTTGCGTCAACTGGATCTTATATGGATAAATAGCCAAGTCTTTTCGTAAAATTCTCCAAGTCGAGGTCAATTGCTTGTGGACGACACGGATTCGAAGGGTTTGGGTCTTCAGCTTCTGCGTTTTACAGGAACAGCTCGATCTGCAACCGAACCATCTTGCTCGAATTTGGCTATGATTCTTTAAATTGTTCCCTCCGTTGGACGATTATTTCGGCCGTAAATATTTCGAAGCTCGCGAAAATTTTAACGAATAGAACACGAATTTTTATAATAGATTTTAATAATTGCTACGCGTTCTTGCACAGTGTAGCGCTATCCATAGCAAAATGGTTACTATGAAAGAGGAATGGTAACCACATGAAACGCCAGAGTAAGATGTTGCCAAATTTCGGACATAGCTATTGAAAAACCCTTTATATACTATTTCCTTGAAGTTTTTATGGGATAGAATAAAAGTTAATCGAAACCGCAGCTACATAAATTTGGAATATCATGGGTACAACTGAAAATCAACAGATCACCGCATATCCTTGTAAAACATTTAGCTTGCAGCCTATATGGGTCACCACACACTAATACCGCAAGCATGCCTGCTATTGTTATGAAAACTAATTATATCTCAAACAAAAATAAAACAAACAAATCCCAATCTCATACAAAAATACACCGAACATATCAACATATGTACACGTACACTTTCCAATCTAACTACATACGAGTACTTTATCAGACTCTTAGACGACGCCACTGTATGAGACGAGCACGTACTCCTCGCCTAATTATTGTATTCGGATTTTTTAATGAATTTATAAGCAATTATATAATTTTGAGCATGAGTTAACGACGTATATGAACGACGGTGTACCGTAGTATATTCCGCGACTAGAACAACTAGTTCGCGATACCCGGCAAACGGTTATGGTTGAACGCCGAGACGGTCTGTGGTGATAGTTTCCTGTTACAGTGACCGGTAGTGATAAAGTGTGACCCACACAATGGATAGGCGAAAGAAACTCACCCTCAACATTGGTCATCGGCCAAGATTTGGGTAAGTTGATGATCTCTTTGCAAATGCCTATTGAACTTTTAGCGCGTGTCAACTGTCATGTACGAGGAAGGATCAAGTTGAGTCCGTCCGTAACAAATGACCCAAATAAACCTTGCGACATTTACTTAACTTGTTCATAGAAAAATGTAAAGGAGATCAATAGCAACACGAACAAATGTTGCAAATATGGTCAAAGTGTTTAATCAAAATAAGCGCTATTTTTTTCACATAAAACAATAAGTTGCTTGTCTGACATCCGTTGATATAATTTATGTTTGACGTGAGTCAATACAATTGTATCTTGACATCATTTTTATATTTTCAATTTGTAATTATCCAAAATCAACTATCTAAAGGAGTTTCCATAAAATTATCTTCTTTATATATGGACAAAAAAATCGTGCTACTCGTAGTCATAGATGCGAGTAGTTTTGATAAGTTGGAATATAATGTGTAGTGACTGATAGTGACAAAGTATGACCCACATCATGGAGATCAGAAAGAAACTTACCCTCAACATCGGTCATCGGCCAAGATTTGGGTAAGTTGATGATCTCTTTGCAAATGCCGACCGAACTTTTAGCACGTCAACTGTTTATGAACGAGGAAGGATCAAGTTGAGCTCGTCCGTGACGAATGACCCAAATAAACCTTTCTAATTTTACAAAACTTGTTCATAGAACAATGTAAAGCAGATCAACAGCAACACGAACAAAAGTTGCAGTAGAAAATATAGTTAACGTAAAGTGTTTAAATTATCAAAATAAGCGTTAAATTTTTCACATAAAACACTAAGTTGCTTGCTGAAATTCCTTGATATAATTTGTATTCGACATAAGTCAATACAATTACACCTTGACATAATTTTTATATTTTCAATTTGAAATTATCCAAAATCAACTACCTAAAATTACCATAAAATTATTTTCTTTACGTATAGACAAAAAAATCGTGTCAGTCATAGAAGAATGAAAGTAGCTTTGATAAGTTGCAATATAATGTGCAGTGACCTACAAAATGTGACCCACATCATGGATAGTAGGAAGAAACTCACCCTCAACAATAGTCATCGGCCAAGATTTGGGTAAGTCGGTAATCTCTATGCAAGAGTCCATTAGTGATTCAAATAAACGTTGCAAATTTTGAAAAACTTGTTCAAGGAACAATGTAAGGTGCTTAGGTTTTCAAAATAAGTATTCATGTTATTGGCTGATATCAGTTTAAAGAATTATATAAGTATAATGTAATTATATCTTCACATAATTTGTATATTGTAATATGCAGTATCCAAAATTAACTACCTTTATTTAAAAGGGACTTCTGAAAAACTATCTTCTTTATATGTGAACAAAAAATGGCGTCAAGTAGGTGGACTTGAAGCTCCCACGTAACCCCCTTATCAGTTCATAAAATATTATGTTCAGCACAAACTAGACCCTCTGAGGAAAAAGTCAGTCAACAGGTCCATACAATTAGTCCATATACATTCTTTCCTTGCCTTACCGACAACTCATCTGGCAACGTCGCTTCTACGCGATGCTTAACACGGTCAGATGTGGCACCGTGGCGCGTAGTCAGAGCATGAGAAACACTATGCTGTAGCATGGCAGAAATACGTATGGTTCTCTACCAGAGCACAACGGTACAACTCCAGCAGCATCTGCGGCCGGTAGGTATGCGATCCGTCTGCCGATAATATTTTTTATGATGTGTGAAATATGTATACCCCTGATTTTTTACAAAAATGATCAGGATCTTCTGAAACTCCGAAAATCGAAATTTGAACTATTTTTAATTTTTTCTCTTCATGCCGTTTCCTCTGCCGTCACTGGGCCGATTTCCAAAAACTATAAACCTTTTGAGTCCTTAGCATATTAGTAACATTGCTTAAAAATTTCATCGAAATCCCAACAGTAGGTACTTCTCAAGTTATATGCAGTTATAAGATTAGTGGACAGACCAACAAATAGAGCGAGGGAAATGAGTGATATGGTTTTTCGTGATGTACGTGCACTATTATACTCATGATCGTGAAAGTCGTACAAATCACAGATTGAACGCAGCTTTGATAAGGTGTCATATTGATGTATGACGACTTTTTGAGAACTGGCATGGTCTCTAGTATAGCATCCTGTAGTGTGACCCACACCATATGTAGGAGAAAGAAACTTACCCTCAACATTTCTTTGCGAGTTGTTTAGTATGGCGATTGAATTCCTTGCGCCTTTGTGTCTACTGTCTATGTATGATGAAGAGTCATATCAACCAAACTTGTTGAAAGTACAATGCTGGGAACTATACTGCCGTACTTAGGTAGAAGGCAGTAAAGTTCATTAACTACCTTTTTTAATTTTTTACGTCAATACATTTCTATTATGTTACAAAGTTACAAAATATATCACTGATTACGCTATTTAACAAAACTAGTTATTTTTTCATTGTCAAATATTTCATATTAATTACATTTCCTAAGCAGTAGGTATAACAGCAACGCGAAAAGGCAAAATAATGTGGTAATCTTAAATATAAGATACCGTAATAAGAATTCACTCTTATTCTTTCACGCAAAAAGATTAGATTCATTTTACACTGCTTGTCTGATATCTGTAAGAGAAAAATATGTTGTGAACATACTGGGAATATAACCATTTATTTACACGATTTATGTCACAAAATGCAAGTTCAGAGTTATTCAGGAAAACGTGAATTGATTTATAAGTTTTTCCATTATTTTACAATTTTGATTAAAATCAGTTGTCCCGTATGTTGAAGTACGGTATTTTTATTGTATTAGATTAAGGACACTGAAAAATTATTAGTTTATTGGAAACACTGCAAAAAATGTACATAACTCCTTTATCCATTGAAAATTAAACTGTGCTGGAATAACAAGATACGTCGAAAGAAGTATAAAGTACTTTATTATTAATAGTTAATATTAATAACGTGTACAATATCAGAAGATACATGTTTAAATTGACATTCTTTTCTTCTATGGATTTTATGTGGTAAGTTCTCCTGTATTATACTTTCGTAATACAATTCGTATTCTTCATCTACAAGCTTTATGTATTTTTTTTATAGTTACACCTCCAAACTTCCGTATTATCCTTGTTGGCTGACACTCGAGGCGATCCCGATTTTTTGCATTTTTCTTTCTTAAATCAAATTCAAAGGATAGCGTGTATTTTTTTGCACCGATTTTTGAACTGCCCAATGTTAGTAGAACTGAGAAAAGCCTCCTCATGTAGGTTGTTCCACAATATCCTAGGAGTAGCAAAGAGCGGTCGTATTGGCCAGTTCTGGATGTACGAAGTTCGACAAGGCTAGGATGGGAGACCATGGTCAGGCGGGTCTGTCTGGCAGGCACATCGCGCGACGGCATCATGGAGGGGAGCTCTCAGGAGCATCGAACCACTGATCGACAGCCCGACAGCCCTCTGCTAAACAGCATCGAGCATGGCTATTGTAGTACTCTAAGCTGGGTCTTATCTGCGCCTTCTATACAGTGAGGAGGTAGAAAAGTACTTCTTAGCCCTAAACAAATAGCCTAGCTTTTTTCCAGCAGCTGCCGATATTGACGAGATGTATTCATGCCAGATCAAGTCCTCGTAGATGTGGACTCCGACAGCCGAAATAAACCACTATTTGGTAGAACTCGCTAATCCATCGAAACCTGATGACCGCCAGGACGATTCTTGTTAGTCAAGATACAGCACTGTGTTTTGGAAGCATAAAACAGCACAAAATTGTTGCGTCGCCACGCAGTAATACCCTCTAGGTCTCTCGTCAGAAAGGAAGTCACTGCTAGTCTTCCTCACTCTGGCTCATCGGCAGAGATCGGCTTGTCACTCTGGATCCCTGCATGTCATCAGCAAAGCTGTGGATCAGATTGATCGTACGGGAAAGGAGGTCATTGATATGTGAGAGGAACAATTTTGGAGCCAAGACCGATCCTTGGGGAATACCCGAGTTGAGATTGTAGGATGAAGAGGTGAAACCGGCCATTACGACGGATATCTTGCGGCCAGTACAAATTGACGCGTGCTTGACACCGAGTAGACTCGCAAAACATGGTCTCAATGGTGGTATGTCACCAGCAACTAACTTATCTGTCGATACCTTTTAGTTGACAGTGGTTTTATGTCACATATTAGGATATAGCTAATTCATCAAATGAGATATAATCGCAATTCCACTTGACATGCCACCTTTATCAACAGAAATTATCTTTTTACAAAGGATTATCAATATATATCGCTTCTAACAGGTTACATATGTAGGTATGTGAGGGGAGGGGGCCAAACATCGAAAAAGATGACTTTGGTAAGAAATGTGACATGACACATTTATCCACTTATGTTTTCAATTGTCTGTTGGTAATAAAATGTAATATAACTACATTTCGTGTGAATTTTTGGATTCTCATACTGAGGATACTGTCTAAGAGAATTTAATGGAAATATTTTTATGAAGTCTATGAATCAACGGATTCTCAATCAGAAATTGTTAAAATGAAAAATTGTATAAAAACCAGGGAATTTTAGTACTAATTATTTTATAAACGATATCATCCCAATCAACACAACAATATATACGTATATAAAAGTGAATGTATGTCCAGTCTGTCAGTATCACGTCTGATCCACAAAAAAGGAGAGACATAAACATGTTTACACTTTATAGCCAATGAAGAACATATGCATAGCTTTTTTTCGCGAATTCATCTTCAATTTTGCAATCAACTGTCGTGGCAAGTACCACCGACAGTGTCAGGCCGGCAACAGCGCGGCCTTGCACGCCTCACTCAACCTGTGACCGACAAACCATACAAACAGTTTATTTGTCACTAGCTGTTGCCTGCGACACTTCGTGTGCTTGAATCTGTTAATAACATTGTTTTTACGGAATGCTATAAACTTCCGATCGCGTTTTGTATTTTTGATGGCATTGGTATATTTGGTTACTTGATTAGTGGCTCCACGTACATGTTCAGGGGT